GCTGCCAGGAACTCTAGAGTTGAAAGGGATGGTGGCAAGACTCAGGGTTGCGGTTGTGGATTTAGCTGTCGGGCTTTAGGGTTAGAGTTGGTCGGGTCTGCTCGACTATAAGAGTGATGCAATTGGACAGGGAATCGTTGAATTTTGAGTTTTGTAGCGTCCCCCCAGACTAGACCACATAATTACCCTGATTAGGCTTGAAGGCTTCGCATTTAGAGCCGTAGGTCTCTTGCTTGGAGGGTCAAGGGACTTAGTAAGTAGATAATAAGTATACTTATAAGTACCATAACCCCAATTAAGATCCCTTTTAGGGTACTTATACGTAAGTCTACTTACTACCTATTTACTAAGTCCCCCGACCCTCCAAGTGGAGACCGTCTTTGAAACGCAACGTCATTGCGCAAAAAAAGTGACGGCTCATGTAACCACGGAACGAGGGTTGCACATCTGCGACGCTGTAAAGCAATTGTATAATACCGGAGTATGAATAGTCGAACATCGCTTGACCAACCCTTCGACGATCCTTGATCCCGAATTCTGACACGTGTGAAGTAACGGGGCCATACTATTCCGGCTCCAAGGCCAAATCCGGACAGTAAGTACTAAACCCCTACAGTAGCCAGAAGTAGTCCTGAATGCCCCTAGACTCCAAACGAGGTCCAAGTTGCGAGGTTCCGGCATTCCTTGCATGCAAACGTGCAGTTCTCCGAGTCCAGGGTCCCTAGCTTACCCCCAAAACGAGGGCCGAAACCGGACCCCAAATTAGATCAGCCTCCGAATGAGGTCAAAATGTAGGGGCCTTAATAGGTAGATAAGGGTTTTGGGGGTTCCCTGTTCTAATTTATAGTAGAATATTATTAATAAAAGGTCCCTACAAGGGATCCGGAGCCACTTCGGATGCAGCGCCCCAGGGGCTCAGCAACAAACGATCTCCGAATTTGGGGACATTGTCGGTGGCTTCTGGGCTCTTTTGGGTTGTGTGCTTGAAGGTTCGAGTATTGGGGGTTTGTCTCTTTGTTTGGTGTTTATTGTTGTTCTTTGGTTCGTTGTCGTTGTTTTTCCTAGGAAAATCAACGTTTCCTGTATAGTTTCATAAGATTAGTAATACACCGTGTAGTATAAGGGGCCACAACAAGAATAGTTCTTGTCTATATACAGAAAAGTAAGGTTTTCCTAAGTTCTCATTGTTTCTTGGTAAGAGTAGAGGTTAGAAAAACAAAAATGCAAAAACAAGGGCCAAAAGAAATTGGGTCCGCCTGAAAACCCTGGAAGAGTGTTGATGCGATGACATCCGCTTGAGGGGTTTTGGGGCTTGCTGCAGTTTCGTTCTTTTTCGTGGTAGCGGAAGCCTGGGCCGAAATAAGGAGCTGCAGAAACAATGAATCTAACCTGAAATCTCACAACCTCATCATGGTGACAACACCCCCGGAAGGGAAGCCCGCCGCATGCAGCTCAGCTTCTTGACGACCTTGCTCGGAAGCTCTCCACTGGAGCGAACCTTTCTTTCCAAAAGCTTCAATCTTGGGGCTTTAAGGGATTTGGTTGTGGAGTTTTGGGGTCAGGCCTATTGGGTTTGCGGCTTTTTGGAATTGAGGGTTTTGGGGTTTTGGACTGAGAGCTTAGCATGCAGTAGGGGATTACCAAACACTTCGCGAAATGAAACATGCATTTTGCATCAGGAACGTGACAATGATTGTCCGGACCCTTCGCTGAGGAGCACGGCTGCCCCAAAAATTATGGGCTTTGAAGGTTGCTCTCAGAACTATAGAGCATTGATGCGGCCTCCGTGCCGGAGCAGGTGTTCATGTGTCCAGCCGCTGCAAGCTCAAGCGCTTAATTCCTGAAGCCCATATCCTGTTCTGATCTGGGCTGTAGCTAAAGGGTTCCTCTTGTATTCTATTTACGAATAAGTAGCTCTATAAGACCACAGGTTCGAAATAGCCCGTCCCCAAAGTGTCACCTACAGGTCCCGCTCTGGGAGCTGGGCCGTCAGCGCACCGTCAAGCTCCAAGTCATTCAAAGCAACCTCAGCTGACAAAAGTCTCCGCCTACAACTTTAAACTCTCACTGCTGCGAACATTCTTGCACGAAAGATGCCTAGTTTCGCAAACCCACAAACACATCCGACGTACCCTTCTACCACCCAAGCCGACTGCTTACAGCCGTAGCCCGCAGCTCTTTATACTGCTTGCCACATTTCTTGATACAAAGGAACTTCCAATGTTCACACATGGTGCGGTATAGGACCTTCAGAAGCTCCCATTCTAGGGCAAGCCCGGTCACATCGCCATCCACCACGAGTTCTGACTTGTTGGAGATTGTGATGTTGCCCTTGACCTTCTCCTGTCGTCTGAATGTAAGCTGCAAGTCTTAAAGGAAAGCATGGGTTTCACATGTTTACACAGTTCTGCAGTACCTACCTTTCGTGCTCATTCCTAAGCAACACTAGCGCTCTAGATTGAGGACTGGCAGCTGCTTCGCGACTGTATGAAAATCGGATGAAGGTTCAAGGGGAGGGCTCCCTGGATTGTCCTCCTACACTTCAGCAGACGAAACTCTCAACCTCAAGCTTCCCAAAACCCACCAAGTAAACTTACAAGAAATGCGTCCACCGCGACATCGCGGACCTTCATCTGTTCCAAGGAGACCGCGAAGGATGGCAGCAGCACGATGCGAGCCCCCACCTCACCGTCTCACGGGCTGCGTTGTCGGGGAGTTACACTGGAACCCGCTGGAAGAGGCTTCCCCCGTACATCGGTTCAGATCCCCTGCCTGCGCTGTGATGCCAAGGAAGTTGACATCAGGCCTGAGAAGGTCATCGCCAACCCACCACATGCACACTTTCGTCGCCATGCCCAAACAGGCGAAAGCATCTAGTATCCGGTGAATCTACCTACTTCTGTGCAGCCTTGTCTGTTGCAGCCAGGGTTGCGCGTTTGACGCTCGGCTACTTAGTTAGGTTTAATTGAGGATCTGGGATATGGTGCCTTTTGTGCAGACCTGCCCTGCTCCTATCATCTGTGTGCAGGGAGATTGCATAACCCCAGCCATTCCAATAAAATCGGGCGAAAAGCCTCACTCTGAATGCCGAGAAGCGGGGCTTCGATCTTCACCTGCATGAGGGTGAGGCTACCAAGTCTGATTATCATATCAATGTCATTGGCATGCTTCTCACTACTAGAGTTTATATAGTTGGTATCGTGACTCCTCCTACTGCTGCATTCGTTTTCACTGAAATTTCCGGTCCATGAAGGGCCTAGCCTCGGTCGGATGTGTAGGACCGTACGAACGAAGTCTCCCAAACTGCTCGGACTTTTTGCAACTGCTGCGAGCGTTTTTCGCAATTTCATATTGCGGCACTCACCGAGAGGCTCTGGCCATTCCCCAAACCTTTCTCACTGAGCCAGCCTTCCCTTGCCCGGCCAACTCCAGCAACCGCGCGTTGCAGGCGTAAATGTCCTCAGTATCAGAGCGTCTCCGGCCTCTCTTCCCGCTCTCTCTCCCTCTCTCGCTCTCGTATTTTTCAAAATTAGCACCACGAAGTCGGTTATGTCGTGTAACACTCATGTAACTGTAGGATGCCGGGACTCGCTGCACACTTAAGAGACCGTGAGCCGGACGAACCACAAGAACCTGACGTCTTTACTCCCTCAGCCAGGGTTTGAAGGCCTCCGAACCCGAATCTCAGGCCCGCAGAAGTAAAAACAGAAAAGCGTCACATAGCTCAGACCCACTCGCTGAAAATTCTGCTTCCGCACACATTGAGTAAAACAGTAGCCGATGAAGCTGCCAAGCTTTCGCCGGTACTTTTCTCAACAAGCAGTGCTTTGGCACGAGGGGGTAAGGCTGCCAGTTCGGCTCAGTACCAGGAGCTCCTGCATGGCCACATCTCTGAAAGTATACCGGAAGAATAGCTTTCTCTACTTTCTAGATTATTTTGCCGAGCTTTCTTGCAAAGCCATGGTGCGGCCTCAGCAGAGAGGGCACAGTCCTCAGCTCCCGTCAGTTAAAGGTCCTAGACCACCATAAGACGAGGGTCAGTAGCGGAGCAATGCTGCCAGGGCCTGCAGTCTCTAGGCGCCCACACTGGCACATACTGTCATCTGCGTACTAACCATGCCCAATGAAGGACATGATGCAAGCACTGACCCCTTGTTGACCTGAACTGTGCCACCAAGCCTACACCGTTGAGTCTCGTGCACAGCAAAGAGTCTGGGGGATTCTTCTTCATCGCATCGGCCAGGTTGTTCTTCACGCAAGTAAAGCTCATCCTCTTAAGCAGGGGTGTGAGGCATAATCTCAGGGGGCTCGTAGCTGAAAAAGGGTTTGGGGAGTCTGCAAAGCAGCATGATCGTGATATGGCGGCTACAGGAAAAACAAATTAGCATCACCACTGCTATTGACCGTGGCGCTCTATTGTCGCGGCTGTTGAGCTGGAAGATTTAAATTGCCAAGCCGCAGTCTCTCGAGCTGCGTAAAGCCAACCTTGCTTGCGCTGCTTTGGTAAATCCAGGCCGTGACTTCAATGATTGCACTAAGACTTTGCTGTCTCCTTGTGACTATCTCGGGCTTTGAGTATCATGCACTGAACCTGTCACATGCTGCCCCACGCCAGTCACCAAAACCAAGAACTTGCAGAGACAAGCAGCCTTGTCCTCCTGGCGGGGCATGGGGCTGTTGGGGTTTGAGAAACGTGGCGATGTCCTATCTTGATGTGGCAGGGTATCTCTGTTGTGACTGTGCGGTTGCTCCTACAGGTGTGAGCTTGCCGCGGCTTGCAAACTGCGGTAGGTGCTGCTTTCAACTGTGTCAAATCTGAAGCCGGCGTGACAGGGTGTGCGCAAACAGCTGCACCAGTGAGACATCAGCGAAATGCCAACGGGCATTCCTGCCCTGTGTGCTTGCAGCGAGGATCTCAAGCTGAAGCACGGCTAGGAGGCATGGTGTTACAGCCGTACGAGACGGCAGGCTTCATAGCAAGTGTTGAGGAGCAGCGACCGCTACAAGTATCTGCCAACAATTCGTGGACTGCCAGAATACCTTGCAGCCTTACATCTCCAACTCTTCCCGCAGCGAGCCTTTGTGCAAAGCCGCGGGAAGTCCTGCATCATGCACCTGCGTACAACTCGGGCTTTTCTGTGAACGCTTGTGCCAGTTGATCGTGCTGAACCGAGGAGTTGATCCAATCTACGGCTCTTAGCAGCAAGGCTGCAAGCCAATGCCCACTGCAGACGCCAAACGCATAGAACAATCGTCGAACAATCCCAATATATTGCCAATAAAGTCCGAACGCCAAAGTGCGCGCCATCTTAGAGTCTAAGAGTGGCCCGAGATTGCGAAACATAGACATCCTCGCAGTTAAGAAGACCCCCTGTGCCCTGTCACTGCTGGCTTGCTGCCGCGGTGCTCGAGGCGAGTCGGTGACTTAAACTTGCTCTTCTCTGCATCTGCCCACTTTGGGTTCACGAACTCCTTGGGTGGAGATCCAGCAACTACCATTGATATGACAACCCTTCATCTCGCAGTGACTCCAACAGTGTTCTGCTGATAGCTTGAACGCCCTTAGAGACGATCTCACTACTTGGACCCTTGCGAAGGCCGTGCTCTCGAAATCTCAAATCTCAGCTTATGTCAACATCCACCCATGGCTGGAGACCTTGGGCTCGGAAATTCATGCGGTCAGGTCACCGGAACGATTCCCCCAGTCGTGGCGAGCCGCTGCGCCATTGTGCCAACGTGGAAGACCTCAAAACAGAGAATACCGGAGCTGGGTCAAAACTCGAGAGGAACCAGGACCGATCTGTTCAGCCCTGTTCAGATGCTGTTCAGCTTCATGCACCCAGAACCCGGCTGTTTAAGCTGCACAGACCGATGTCAGAGTAATCAACAGCCATGCACACCAGGATACGATCGAGACTCGAAACACCTTCAGAACTCATCACTTTGCCTCCAGACTTAGATACCGTTCAGTGCAAGTCTGCGCTGACAGAAGAGATTCCGAGAAGGCACTAGGACATTGATGTTGCCGGGGTAGGGAGAGAAGCCGCTCGCATCTGCCACATCCCCACCAGCCGGAGTGTCCTTCTCAAAGTAAGAACATCGCAACCATGAAATCGTCTCACGCTGCCAGTGCTTCGTATCTTGACAAACCTACAATAAATTTAGATAGACTTGACTATGCAGATATGAGCAGAGCCGAACCCAGGAATGTGCATCTGTATCCAACACCGTCCTTCAAAAGTGGATCCAGCTGGTTGTATTCGACGTTGATGGTCAGGTCATCACCCGAGGCGCCTTTCCTTTCAAGTTCTAGGTCTGCGACGATACTGCTACGCCACTATCATGTTCTGATTACTGAGCCAAACATCTCCAAACCCCTCTCAAGACGGGCATATCTCGGCTTCGGCATGCATTGAGTCATGCGTGTCGAGAGAGGAGTAAGACCGTTAAAGATATTCAGGATGCAATATGTCGTTTTCGTCAGCCCTCGAGATCAAGTCACTGCAAACCTGACGAACTGCTCCTCGATTGAAGACCCTGCAGGAGCTCTGGTTGTCTAGGTTGACATTTGCGCTTTTATGTGCGCCCTGAGAAGTCAAAGGCTTTGTGTCGAAGTCTCAAGTAATTGCCCCCGACTCTTACCTCGGGCGCTTGTATCACATGGCATAGTCACGCCAAATGTTGGCACCGATGCAGGCTAACGAACGTCATAAGCGGGGCCATAGCTCAGCTGACAAATGCCGCCCACTGCTTCGCCAGGAAGGCGCGGAACTGCGACGGAGTTCATCGCGAAGCCGCGGCTAACCTCAGTGGCTATGGTCATGTTGGAGTAAGGATGCTGCTAGTTTTAAGCTGTAAACAAGAATCAAATCAGGATATTGTACTTTAGAAACTTTAGAGTCCATGTAGGAGTGATGAGGAGTGCACGACGACAGCGTAGAATTCGTTGGGGAAGTGTTCAGCAGCACAAAACCATGCCGGCTGGCTGGCTGTGTTACGCGATCCTGCAGTGCCTGTATCAGCTTGGAGTTCTGCTAACTTCCAAATCAGCAGCAGAGGATCCGTCGGTAACATCCCAGTTCCCTCATGAAGACAGAGTTGCCGCCTGCAGCCAAGGGGCAGACACGCCCAAAATCGCGCAAAGGCTGCGGAAGGGCAGTGGGTTCGTGTCTTGAAACAGCAGAAGCCACTCTCTGCCTGGAGGGGTGTTTCGGGATCAATACGCAAGACGAGCGAGCAGGGCTGTACACGAACAGCGAATTGCAAGCAGAGTCTATGCTTTCTTTGACCGGAGGCCGGAGAAGCTTGATATTAGCTCAGCCCTTCCGGATGCCAACTTCAACGAATTCCGGGCCTTCTTTGGCCCACTTGGCGGGCAAGCCGTGCTGGTGGAGCCTTGTAGTGATGCATCATCGACTCCCACTCGACAAGGGCTGAGCACATGCAAAGTCAGGCAATCAAACGACCCTGAACCATCGGACTCCATCCGTAGTCCGTAGCCATAGCCATTGCATGAATGCAGGCCAGTGGGCAGTGCGTGCACGTCGCCATGACCATGCGGCTTCTTCTCCACATTACCGTCCTTCGAACAACTGGCAGTATTCCAACTAGTTGCTGTTCACATGGGGCACGTAGTGGTGAGAAACTCGGACCAGCCGCGTGAAAATTCGAGCCGTTACGGTCGCTGCAACGAGGCAGTTTCGTACGGAAGGGAACTCTGGCGCATTGCTGGGTTGAAGAGGATTCGGCAAAACCAGGGACAGCCATTGTGCCTAAGATGTTTTGTTTGTTGATGTTTGTCCTTGACAGCGATTCGCGCGTCGATGTCCATCAATGCAGGTACCAGCTCCTGCTTCATGATGGTCACCTGCCCGGAAACAACCACCTGCGATACATGCTAGAATCTTAACGGACATCAGCGATTGATCGAAAGTCCGTCATCATGTTGCGCAATCAACATTCCCACATGCTAGCACAAGTAGACCGCTGCTGCAGACTCAGACATCATGGCAGGGACTTCACCCACTTTCAATCATGAGTCATGCTCGAAGCCCATCTACCGGCCAAGTATGTAGTTCGTCCATGTCTGGATCAGAATCAGGCGTCTACTTGCACGGGACAGGCGCTTCAGCGTTCATGTAGACTTTGACCAGAATGAAGTGCCTACTTGCACGGGACAGGTGCTCAAGCGTCCGTGTAGACGAGAGTGCTTCTTCCAGCCCTCAGATTTTCGCCCAGGTGTATGTCACCGTCACGGCCTGCAGTCCAAGCCTGACGACATCCCATCCGTCCAGGCTCTGTCTGGTCTTCAAGGCAATAACAGTCAGCAACTTGAAACTCCCACGTTGATCCTTTGAGAACAGCAGCGGTTACTTAGCGAAGACTAGCTGCGTAGCTCCCTGGGATATGAAGGAGCGTATGTCAAACCGAATCTGCAGCAGCCGCTCCTGCGCGCACTTCAACTTGTGATCCTCTTGGAGCACGAGCAGCTGCGACTCTAATTGAGAATGGTGCTTTCCCTTCAAGTACCGGTATCGCAAACGATCCTGAATCCGCCTGATCTCGTTTCCTCTGTCCAGTCCGTCAGTGCTTAAACGACGGTAGCGACCTTGATTCCCGACCATCTCGTGAAGGTCACTTCGGACCTTGACGAGATTCCCAGAGCAGGTTTGCAAAGCCAACCTTGCGGCTTCGCGCTTCACCCTTAGACCTGAACGTAGCAGTTTGGCCAAGAGGCGCTTGGAAGCCTCGGTCACAGATACAACCAGCTCGCCATGCGTCTCATAAACTTCGCAGCCAATACCGTTGTGGGCCAGGAAGCTTTGGATGGCGTGCAAAACCGGCGGAAATTTTTGCTTGATGGCGAGTCTCACACATACTCGAGGACCCACTGTAATGCAGCCTTCCGCATCAAAAAAACCTGCCAGGTATTGCCAAGACGGGCACGATGCTTCTTCGTGTGCCTGTTGCTTAAGAAGCTTCAGCCTGCCAGCAGCTTCAGCACGCAAGCTACGTTCTTGAGGCCACAAGCTTGCAATAGCCAGCTGTGACCGTTTGCACGATGTGCCGGTGCTCAGCAGGGCCGACGCCTGCCGGCAAGTTCCTCCAGTGACAAACCATTGAACAGAAGGCCTGCGCAAGCCACGGGCATGGTGCTCTCTCGTGATTGATCCACCAAAAATGTTTCGAAACAGAAATAGCACTGCACCGTTGGACTCTGTCTGTGAAACCTGCAGTCTGATGCTGGACCTGCAGACGGTGACGCACCCGTCGCCATCAAAGAAGCCAGCTAGATAATTAAGCACGCGCGGCGGCACTTGCTTGCATGGCCGCGCATGCTCGGCTGACAATGGCAAGCAGTACCTTCGACCACAGACGTCAATGTGGCCTGCAGCAGGGAGGCAAAGGCGGTTCTGAAGCTGTCGAAGCCGATCGAAGCGACGCTGCAGCTGCTGAAGACTTGCCGGTCTGCTGACACATATGGACATTACACGTTCATTCGGTCCGGCTCCATTTCGCGAGATGAGCTAGCGCACTGAATCCGATCAAGCCTCCACAACTGCAGCACCCGTGTGGCACATGCCTTCGAGTTCACACGTAAACTTGTGACTATGATGAATGGCAGCGATGCAGGGGGTGCCACATAAAAGGCTTACATGGAATCCATTCCCACTCGGTGCAAGACATTTGTCAAGTCGGACTGAGATTGAACTGGTTTAGGGTTTAGGGTAACCCTAAACCCTAAACCCTCAGGGGACGTTCGATGGCAAAGGCACGTGCCTGGCTCGTGCTCAAGCCGAAGTAGGCGTTGGCCTCGAGAAGCTCCAAGGTCTTTGCATTGGTGTCGCCTTGGGCTCGACACGGAATCGTGCTAAGCTTCCGAAAAAGAACTTCGGAGGGGGAGGGGCTTAGGGTTTAGGGTTTTAGGGTTTGACGAATTTTGGAGGGGGAGGGGCGATAGAGTGTAGGGGTGTTGTCCAACATAGGCAAGGACTAGGCATCAAACTGATTGTACCGGGCACTGCATGGAGCTAAGCGAAGTGTGGGACGGAGAGCAACACCTAGCGCAAGCCTTGTGCCCCGTCCGAAACATCAGTCCTCATGTCTTCAGCCACCAAGTGACCTGAGGTCATGATCGCCAGAGGGAGCTCCAAGGAGTTGTCTCCAGTGACTTTTCGCGCATATGCCTCGCGCGCATCGTCTCTCAACACATGTGGGCAGGCCTTGGTGCCACCTTCATGTCAATGCCAAATGCCAGCTAGACACTGCGACATTCTTGCAACAAGGCCTATATGGTCTAACCGGACAGCCTCGTCGTCATGGGGCTGTATCTAACCATGTACTTAGTCCCAGCTGTCGTCGCGAGATGTTGAGGGCGTGAGACTCCAGAACTCAATCTATTTGGATTGACAAACGCTTGGGGTTTCTGGGAGCCTTGGTTTACGATTTTTATGCAACATACTCCTCACCCAGCTTCCGCCTGAAATGCAAGGATGTATTTGGCGTAGAGCTCCATGAAGGTCCTGAGAGCCCCAGATCAGCACATCGAGACAGCAGTATGCATTGTGACATCCGAGTGATACTTCGTCAAGTCTCGCTTCTGGAAGCCCAAGCTTCACAGAGCTCCCACCGGAGGGTTTTTCAGGAGATGTGATAAAGGATCGTAAGCACAGCTTTGGAAAAGTATCCGGGGCAATCATGCTTAGAAGCACTGGTGGATAGCCAAGCGACACGCCGGTGGTAAGCTCTGCCGTGATGCCGATCTTGATGCCAGGATAGCCTGTGCGTGCTACAGCCTCTGCCACGATAGCAGAGAGATGTGATGCATTCTTACGAAAGCTCCGCCTCTACAGATGCCTCTACAGACTCTGCCGTTCCTGCTTCGTTGAACTGCGAGATTGCTGCCACGACCGCCGACTTACCAGCCACTCACTCACACGAATACGCATGCCGATGATATCAGGTCAATCTACAAGTAGGAAGTCGTTCTCGCACCACGCGCCTGGCCTAACCGCTCACCAAGACCACCGGCCACAAGGCAGAAGCAGGTCTTGCTGAGCTGCTCCATGCCCTGGCAAAAAGGATACCAAACAGGGGCCTTAATTTTCCAATAGGGATTCGGGGCCCCTTATACTATAGTTGTAATAAGGACCCCCCCCCAAAAAAAAAAAAAAAATAGCATAGGTAAGTACTTACATAGGCCCCTATATTACCAACCGGTGTGTCAATAGCAGAAGCAGTGCCACTAGCCACTGACCGCCCGTGGGTCCGAAGACGCCGTGCTTCTGGGCCTGTTGTGCATGGTACCAGCTCTTGAATGAATTGAAGTTTCATACACGGCCATCCTTTGCCCCAAACTTTCACACATGCTTCATGCCTTCCGCTCGAACTCCGCATAGCTGGCGGATCCTGGCCCTGTTTCACCTGCACAGAGCACACGAAGCATCGAACTCGGGAGATGAGTTCAAGCAAGTCCACCACAAAGTATCAATTCTGCAACGCACGCTTTGTTATGCGCATGACGTCTGCAAAATCGTATAGCTGCGTATAGCTCGCCTTTTCACGGTTTTCCGAAAGCAAAAAAATACTTTCAGGCCAAACATTCCTAAGACTCTTAAGCTTTAGAAAACAGAAAACGCCAAAGCCTGTCAGCCGCTCGCCACTCGGGACCTCCGGCTTCAGCCCCTCGAACGGGTTCCTGGGCTCTGAGAAGTTCTACGCTGCTTCCAAGGGATCAAACCTCAAATTTCCGAAGAACCCTGGGATGAACGAGACTATCTTCGTATTTTTCAGGGGGTGTTCAATCGTCCGACAGCAGTTGCAGACGCCGCTTCTGAGCATTTTCAGTGTTCAGTGCATGGCCAATTATCCATAAATGCCGCACCTACGTAATCAGATTTGCAACTCCAAGCCCAGCACAGAATAGCGACGGCCGAGCAGCTTTCCAGACTTGGCGTCCGCTAGGAGTGTCCGTGCGCGCTCGAGGTAGCCCTTCAAGCCTTCAGAATCGCGACACTTCGACGGAAGATGCGCTAAAGGACAACAGTGGTGGCTGTCCCATATCTGGGCTGTTCTTCGCGGCGAGAAAAGCTGTTTTGTTTTGCTAACTGACGGTGCCGAAGAAGGAACCCAGAACAAACAAACCGCAAATAAGAACGTGAGTTCTTTGCCGAGGACCGCATCCCCAATGCAGTTCAGCAGGATGTTTGCGCGCTGTAAAGTATAAGGCCATACTACCCAAACCCGCGTCATGGCTCCGGAGATCTCCGGAGCTTAGGGCTGCAGCCTCCTCCAGGAAGCTTTCCGTCGAGCTCATCTAAGTCCTCCCACACGCGGGCTCTTCGAAGCGCGTATATGCTGCTAGTTGGATGCAACTCAGAACGCGTGGACTTTCAGCACCTCGTTTATGCAAACACGACAAAGGTCAAGTAAACCTTCGAGTTGCTAGTATGCCGAAGAGGCTTTTCCACCCCCTACACACCCAAGCAGTATGTAACTTCACGGCACCACAGTCCCGGATGATGCCCTGCTTCTGCTCGGCTGAAAGGCCCTCGAACATGTGCGCCTCGGCTCAGTGCTCTCGATCTTTGCTCTGTTTAAAGTCTACTAGGACCAGGGGTTTCGGGAGGTGGACCGAGGACATGGGGATCAAGATACGGATTCCAGTCGCAGAAGGAACCCACCACACATGTGCACGCGTTTCGGCAGGCTGGGATGTGAAAGCCTTCGCCGATACATTTCCTCGACGTGTGCGTGTGTGTGTGTGTGTGTGTGTGTGTGTGTGTGTGTGTGTGTGTGTGTGTGTGTGCGTGTACGAATATGTGTTATGACATACAGCCATCGACCGGACCAATCGGCGAAACCCTTCTGGGCTGTCTATCTTTGCCAAGTACCACGACCCAACACAAAAAACACTGCAGATTCATCCTGCACCCAGAAATCACGAAACACATATGTTCAAGCCATCCCGCGTTCGGAACCTGTTTGGGCCATTGTCTCTCCGCATACAGGGCGGAACTGAAACAGCCCTTTGACGGTCTTCAGCTAGCAGTAACTAGTAACAGCACCTCCATTCTGTCGAGACCGCCTTACGAAATCGCTCGGCTGCACGTCACATTCAGCCAACCCTTCTCCAACCCGTTGCACGGTTTGGGGACAAGGTCCCCCTACCCGTTGCAAAGCCAGCAAGTAAGGTTATAAGTACCCTAATTGGGGTTATTTGTAATTATAATTATAGTTACCCTATTTATTACCCCAATTACTACGTCCAGTGCATATCTTTCGCAACAGCGAAGGGCAACCCCGCTGACTCCACGGGCCTGGCTGAAGGGCGGCTCGGAGAGCTGCGTCTCGGAGAACAGCTCCATGGCTGTCATGGTCGGGAGCCACCGAGCCTCCGGCGTCCGGTTTAGGGTTTAGGGTTACTCCATACAGAAGGGGGCGCAGGACATCGGAAACTTCGTCTGCATGAACTCTACATAACTCGACAGTTAGAGGCATTTCCGGTCGGGTGCTGGGTTTTTAATGTTGGTAAAGGACGACACATAACAACAAAGCCACTCAGCTGTTGTGTACGTGCACAGAACATCTGAGAACCTACGTGTATAACACTGGTATAACCCACTAGCAATCGAAATCATCTCGTCTGCAAGAGATTGCTCGGGTAGGGTCGGCTGTTCCGTATAAACCAATCCACTGGTTCAGCCCTTACCGGCACAATCACAAGCAGGAACAAAGCTCGTGATGCTAGGCAGCAAAGTAGATCGTAGGGTGGTGCGAGAAAAAATCCCACAAGCAAACCTCGTGACCCTTGCCCTAGCACTGCTTAGCAAGGAACTGAAGTCCTAGATCTTGGACCGTGCAAGGACTGAGCACGGTGTAAGCTCAGCACGTGCTGAGCCACCAGACGCCGTGGCAAACGCGCAAGGCGCGACCGCATGCAACAGCTTGAGCCAGTTTGACCACCGGGCGTAGCGAGTTCAGACATGCGTTGCATTGTGAGATGCTTCGTCGAATGGCTGAGAGATGTTGTGATGTAGGGCAAGGTTGGTTTGCTTTGGGGGCCGGGTGAATCTAGTAGAACCGCGTTTGCAATGTCAAGTCAGTGCCATCAACCTCACAGGCTAAGCAACAATCCTGTAAAGCCACCTTAGGCACCTCTCCTCGTCTTTGAACTGCAGGGCAGCAAACCCCCACAGGGCTTCAGACCTCGGCATTCATGCCAGCCCTTTTGAAGGGGAGCCATAATGAATGAATCCGTTGACGTCAGTTTAGGGCAGGAAAGTGCTACTTACTAGTATAGCCGTGCTCTTTGAAGAAGCCGCCTCCACTGCCTGCCCTCGCCTCATTCCTAATTTAGATGCAAATAGGCGGAGTCGAACGTCGCAGTAAATCGTAGTGAGTCAATCCAGGCGCAGACCTCACAGTGGCCTGTGCCGAAAGTTGAAGCAAGGAGACATGCCCTACATGATGCTTGATGTCCTGGAGCGTCCGATGTGAAACCTCGGATCTTCGTTACTCCAAAGCAATCCCAATCAGAAGTCTTACCCTAATAGCATAGCGTTTAGGATTATGATTCAAACTGTTTAGCGCTTAAGGTTTAAACTCAAACCGGCGAAGTCATGCGAAGTCTAAGTCTTGAGTATCCCAGAGGCAGCTCCTTCATCTTCATCTCCGCCAGTCCGAACGCGATCTGCGGTTGTTCGCGCTTGGGTTCTGACTTCGGCAGCTTTTTCGGGGGCATTCCGGCAAAAGATTGAAAGGGAGACGAGGCTTATAGCTGTAGGTTTATGTGTTCAGGGCTCATCTCTTTCTGACTGGCATGCGGTGGAAACTCACTCCCAGCCTCGTTCCGCACCGCTTTCAAAGTACCTGCCCGGAAACACTTCTTGGGCTTCTTGCTAAGGACCTCAATTTGAGTTACACGTTGTTCTAATCCAATTCAGATTCCTTGACAAGAACCCAGCTTCAGGCCAAGAAGATATTTCGCAAGGGACTCGTCCGTTGCCCTTCTTTCCATGTGCTTTCAAGCTTTGAACCAAGATGGAGGAAGCCTGCTTGTCCTGCATGAACGGGATACTGGAAACACCTTACACCAGCATAGAGACATCTTCTTGTAACAGACATCATAGAAACGTGCAAGATGACAGGGGAAGATCTTTTGTGTGAGGACGTGAGCCAACTTTCAAATTGGTTTCTCCTTCCGGCTACGAGTAAACACAGATTGTGAAGTAAACCATGAACCATAAATCTGTGAACGAAGATTTGGCTTGCAAATTCCGCAACAGTTCCCGTTGCAGACCTCTGGTCCCGGCTTCAACCGCCCTGCCTTTTTTGACAAGCCCTAATAGTAGATTAATACGCTATTCTGCTATACTTGTCATGGTATTTAAACTTTACTGTAGTATATGATAGTATACTCTACTAGATTGCTACTTTCCTTCTTGCGGGAAGGCACCCTGGTCACTTCGAAATTACTATATACTAAGATCCCAAGTCTTTCAACTCCTCCAGCCCCTCCGACAAAACGGAGCACATGGGGATTCCTCAAATTAGTAAGGCCTTCTAACAATTCCGACTTGTCAGGGTCTACATATAAATCACGGTCCTGCACTTTCTGAAGGTCTCTGTAAGGGCTGGCAGGCTCCTTTCGGCTGGCAGGTTTCCTACTATATGTGGGAGCTCCTGCACAAAGACTGGCATGAAAGAACCCTGCAGAAAGCCATAAATCTTTGGGTGTAAACCTCTGAGCCGTGGACCCTATACCCGACATTATTCCCCCAACTCCGGAATGAAATGCGAAGCGTCTGCAGCTCGCATACATCTAAAATCCCGCACACAAAATCCCGCTGTGACGAGATCAGATTCACGGCAATGGATCAAAAAGCCAATTCAACCCGAAGACTTGAGCCATAGAAATCCGGCCTCGACAATCCTCTGCCCCAGGATCCAGCCATCCGAGCGCCCAAAGACAGCCGGACATTTGCTCGGGGGTCCTCTCGCAAACATGGTGCATGTATGCCAGCCGTGACAAGCCTCATTGTCGTCATTGCCATTGTCATCTTATCCTTCATCAGCTCAACTACGCGACAAAATCACTATCAGAGCTGCGGTCACAGTTACAGGCTTCGGCATTAGTGCAGCTTGCTTCACGGATTTGCGCAAGGTGACGAATGGCAGAGACCACTCGCCAGAATCCGACTGAGTACAAAAGTGCCGTAATAGCGACCATCTGTGGACCTCGAGGGTCAATGACGGTATCCAAACAACTTCATTGAAATCGCCCTCGTCGCCCTCGTCATCACATTATCAGTGCTAAGATCATGAAGATTACAATAGCGATGTCGAAGAGCAGCAGGGCAGCCATTACAGCAAGTAGCTCGCGAAACTGAAGTAATCTTCCCCCCACTACCCCAACAAGATATACCCTCAACCCTAAACCATACTTAGTCGAATCCCCGGTCACCAGTGAGAAAGTCATAGCCTAAAGCCTAAACCCTCGGCTATCCCCTAATCCCCCGGAGAAGGTCATGTGCTGGGCGGTGAGCTCCAACGCTTCCAGCAGCTTTGGCAGCAGCGCACGCGCCTCCTCGTGCGCGCAAGTCTCCTTCGGTGCGGGATGAAAGGTTCGGGTTTTAGACTTTGGGGTTTACATAGGTCAACCATAGTAGCTTAAACTTGTCTTGGTGGTGGTGCTATTTTTACAACTCTTCGCGTATTATACAGATTATGTGTATGATCCAGTTTCTTGGCTTTGGTGATACTGTCTACGCGAAGGAATACCAGGTTACTAGGTCCCCAGCCTAGCCATACAGGTGGCTTAGCGAGAGAAGGAATTACGTTGGCGAGTGTCAGTAGTTCGCAAGCGTTGCGGCACTGGTTTGCATCTTCTCCTTTTTCGGCCGGTCCGTTGTAGAGCTTGAGAGCTCTTGCTCTTGCGGATTGAATTATATATGAGGTTCTTGCGATGCGGTGCAGTGCTGGGCTTCAGGCGGTGGCTGGGGTGACCGAGATGCTAGGCTCTGCCCTGCGGTTTCATCCATCGTCCAGTTGCTGGTATGCTGAGGAAGAGCTGCGAGGACTCAGGGGTGGAAGACATGAAGACGTGATAATCCTCGAGGCCTCAGGGGTTTTTGGGGGCTCCATGGAGTGTGGTGTGGCGTGGGTCGTGGGACAGTGCAGGGTTTTCACCTGCCAGCAGCTGGAAATCACGAGCCCACAGCCCAAATCGATGAGCCTGCAACATCGCGATCGAGTAGATCATGGAGTACCTGGGCCATCGCATGCGGGAATTTTGACGGGAAGTTAGTTTCTGCGAAGACATTTTCAAAGACGGCAGGAGCCGTAACTTTCCAAGGCTCACTACACCTGAGCTCTCGTGCCTGGGGTTAGACCCTATGTTCTAGAGGCCTAAGCCTCAAACTCTCAAACCACTAACCCATAGGCCCCAACGTAGTTCCTTTTTGGGCTTTCCATATAGAATTCTAAATATGAACCCCAAAAAGGAACTACTATGGGGCCTATGGGAAAATCCCAATAGCCTTCCTTCTTCCTCCTCTTGTCCCAGGCGCGTGTTGTGAGCTGTGAAGTCGCTGGCCGGGCACTCAGCGAGTCTTTCCTTCATCCTCCCAACTAAGGCCTTCACAAAGGTGTGGGAGTTTCCGGAACTAGGGGACCCGAATATATAGTAGAAGCCAGAAAGTTGGAACATGACTCTCCTCATGCCCTTAAGGTAAAGCATAAGGGATCCTAGCACGAATCCTCCTAAACCCACGTCCCAACTTTCTGGGGTTCACTGTAGTACCCTAAATAGTTGGATCCTTATTATAAGGGCCTCAAAGTGTAAGGTACCCCTAATTTCGGAGCATGCAGGACTTCTTTGTTGCTTGGCGGCACGCGCGGTTAGGATTGTTTTTAAGGTTCAGGAGTGAAGGGTTCGGTTTGACACTTACACTGGGGGTCCTTAGGGCTTTAGGACTTCAGGGTGTTGGGGTGTAGTGTTTCGGGCCCTTGCGGGCTCATGCTTTCGGGTTTTACGTGAAGGACGATGCGCTGCTTTTGACGATGCTGCCGGTGATGCTCTTCGCTCAAATCAGATGAAGACGACGATTATGATGATGATGGTGATGATGTTGGTGATGATAATAACGATCATGATCACCATGATCACCATCATCATCCTCATCATCATGATGATACGAGCAGCGATGAGGCTGCTGCTGCTGCTGCTGCTGCTGCTGCCTTTGCTGGTGGTGCTGGGGGTGGCTTTAGTGGCTGTGGGCGGTGGTGACGGTGATGACCAACCATCTACTCGTGGAGCTCTCATCTTCACGTTGGTCCATGAAGATATAGCTGCACATCACAAACATCTCAATGACCCCTTCTTGGATGCTACCAACACAGGGCGCAGCAATCTGCATATTTAAACAAGTCTCTGTTACGGAACCGGGCCTGTTTGAGCTCAAACCTTTCTGGCAGTGCTGTCATGTCATCTATAGGCAAACAAACACTTGCGATTGGGGTCTTCCTGAAGCTTCAGCCTAACGTTGTTTGCACCTGAACCCTTGAACCCGTCGTCTATAAATCAAGCACCCTAAACATAAACATTTAGTTGCACCCTCTGCACCTTGAGCACCGGGTTCGGCAGGGTGCGGGTGACGGCCATGGACCAAAGACCATCCGCCAACACCTGTGAAGTCGCGGGGGGCGGCGTGCTCGATGTTAGCACTGAGGGTTTACGGTGTACTCCAGAATTAGCTACTTGAGTACAAGTTTGAAACCAAAAAACCTTGTAGGACAGAAACTAGAGGAGCCAGAACAAGGGAATATAGCGTGAAGCTCGAGGCCTATAGGGTGTCTCCGGAACCATAACTTCGCATCAAGCTTGGTGATGCCGACACCTAAGGCTCTAAGGATCAACAAATTTAATGACTAATGGCCACAGGAAAAAAGGGGTTGCTGACTTGCATCGCCAACTCTAGCTATGCACTAGAAGCATGTCTTTCTGACTCTGCGAAAGGTCGAAAGGTCGGCTGCAGCGCTTGAACTGCCTGGGTAGTCATTGAAACTCCTACTACCGCAAACAATTCACAGCCCAGGCCCACACAGCATTGGGCCAAATGCACTACCGCCAGCCATGCAAGTACGCACAAATAATCTCCACAAAAGCAAGTTGCCATCAATGCGCCCATACCGCTCTATCATGTCGCTGTTGACATCTAGCAGGTGACTGCCGCATGACTGGCTGCAGGCAATGGAACAGTGGGCCGATGCTGTACAGGAGCAGCATGAGTTTGTGCGGCAATTTCGGCGCACAAACCTAACATTTGCAAGAGCGAGTCATTGCAGCAACAACTCCAGACTAGGCTACTTCTGGGACGGTTTCTTCAAGACCTTCGCCTTTGCTTTGGCCTTCGCTTTGGCCTTTGCTTTAGCCTTGGCCTTCGCTTTGGGCTTCGCCTTGGCCTTGGCCTTGGCTTTCGCCTGGGCCTTGCGCTGGGCTTGGGCTTTCGCAATGGCGGGCCGAGCTCGGGCTCGCGCTTTGGCCCGGGCTTTGGCCTTGGCTCGAGCAAGCTCCCGAGCTTTCGCCCGGGCCCTCGTTTCGGCTTCATCATCCGCCTCCCGGGGAGCTTCGTCGCTGCGGAGATTGAGGGTCGAGGCTTGGGGGAGGCCTTAGGGGGCCATAAGAGCCTAATTACTCCTGTGAACACCTCTTGCATGCGATGTTGTTGAAGAGCTATCGCGCCAAGGCCTCACTTTCTATCTTGCTTTCTGCATGTGAAATGTCGGGGGCCGGCCGCTGATATGACAATGGTCATAAACAGAACATCACCAACGTCATCATCATTCTCCAACTAACTGGTTATCCATAGGCCCCAAAGTAGTTCCTTTTTGGAATTTCCATATAGAAGTCTAAATATGAACCCCCAACAGGAACTACTATGGGGCCTATGGGTATCTGCACCGGCAACAAAATCGCGGTAATTGAACTCGCTGAACAAGATCCACGCTGCCAGAGGTAAAAGCCGCTCAATCCAAAGGCAGTGAAATCAGCTGGCAACCTGGTCTCTAAACCCCAGCTCTACAGTGAGACAATTAAGTCTACTGCCAATGCCGAAGCTGTACAAATTGAATCCAAAAGGCAAAACCCTGCCACGCTACGCATTGAACTCGAGATCCTGCAACCCAAACCCGGGGCCCAAATCACCCAGTGGGCCTTACACCGCCAAATTTAAACCCTGAACCCTGTCTCGGCTTGCTCACCTCTCCGGTTTCTTCCTAAACCTTACACCCCCCAAACCCCCAAACTCCACACTCGAAGCCCCACAGCCGAGGTCCTAAAAAACACCTAAACCCCTGAACCCTCCACCTCTGTAACCCTAAACTACCCCTAGAGAGCTCCATCTCCCCCTAAAGGAACCCCTTAAAGAAAGCCCTTATGCTACCCTTCTAGGAACCCTTGTGGTACCCTCATAGGAACCCGTATGGTGCCCTCATAGGAATGCTTATGCTACACTTATAGGAACCCTTAAGGGAACCCAGGAACCCTTAAGGCGGACCCCCTTTGTGCATCCGGGCCTGGGATCTTCCAAGCTGCTCTTTCACGCGGGAGCTGTTGCCGCCGAAGGATGGAGGACCTCATGTATAATGTAGGGACCTAACTAACCCTAAACCCTAAACCAAAACCAAACCCTAAACCCCTTTTTGTTTGAGCGCGGACTCGAGCTGTATGAGTTAGGCCCCCTAAACCCTAAACCCTAAACCAGAACACTAATACCCTTTCAGCATGGGCTTGGATTGTGTGCCAGCGTACACTCCTCAACAGCGGGCCTTCTCGCCCTAAACCCTAAACACCTTCCTAAGGTAGTATAAGCTAATCCTAATAAATCAGAATTGGGTTTGGGGCTCGTTGAAAGTCGAACACAGAGGCCTTCCGAAGTAGAATAAGGCTTTGGGCCCTCAGGAATAATGGTGCAATATAGGGGCCTGAATGAGTAGAATCGGGGTTTTGGGCTCCTTTACAGTCAAAACAAACCTATGTATATGCATATATATATATATATATATTCAGGGCCTTAAGGATTCGAATGGGGCTGTGGGGTACATTAGACTTTCGGAGCAGCACAAAATGGGGAAAGAAGGTCATAAGACCAGCACAAGTCCAAAGAAGACACACGTGTGACCTCTTCTTACATGCCGGCCGGCCCCACGTCACCACCGAGCCATCCGTGCGGATAGCAGCAAAGGCACCCAAGGAAGCCTCAAGTTGGTGACACTGGAGCACAGGTACGGTTTCAAATGATTGTGCCTCGACGGTCTTGCTGAAGTGGCATGGAAACTCATGTAGGGGCCTTAATAAGTAGAAATCAATAGAATAGGGTTTTGACGCCCAAAATACCATCAATATAATCAGGAGGCCGCAATATAGTATTGGTCATTACTAAGGCCACCATATTTCCCCCCCCCCCCCCCCCGGCGTTTTCAGGTCTTCCTCCTTGGCTACCCTGCAGATCAGGTTGCTCTTGATGTCCCTGCTGCTGTGAGGATAATCAGACAAGTGAGGAGAGGTCGCAACATTCGAGATCCATAATCTTAATAGGGTTTTGAGGCCCATTATACTATAACTTATAACTATAACAAGGAACCCCATTTCGAAGTCCCAGCAGACATTCTGAGCTTTTCACTACGGCGCGAAGCCAACAGTTGCTGAAAATTCTTTAGCCGGTAGGACTTGTAGGAGCGCTAGTAGGGTATACCCAGAGGCTCCATAGTAGTTCCTTTGCGGGGTTCATATATAGAATCTTATATAAGGTACTCCCAAAATGGAACGACCATGGAGCCAATGGGTATGGCGTAGCTAGACCGTAGCATGCAACACTTCTTCTGCCTAGCCATAAAATAGAGGGTATCCAAGAAAACACTACGTTCTGGGATCTGGGGGTTTAGGGCTTACGGTCTGGATTCTTCTAGATTTTTCTGCAGCGTCTTCAGTTCGACGCTTCAAGGTCGGCGAGCCTGAATGCAGGTGACGTCGTGGAGCTGTTCCTGGACAGCAGAGCAGTCTCCACCATGGTTCTTCCTCGGCGGACAGACCAGACTTACAGTAGAAGCCAGAAAGTCGGAACATGGGTTTAGGAGGATTAGTGCTAGGATCCCTTATGCTGTACTTTAGGGGCATCAGGATACCAATGTTCCAACTTTCTGGCTTCTACCATGCTTCGGCTCAATGTCACCAAGACCCTGAGCCCTGGCACTGAATTCGTCAACTATATTACCTCTACAGTCCAAAAACTCGAAAACATCAAAACCCGGAATCCTCAGCCTTGTTCTAACTTGAAGCGATCTGGCTCATTGTCATCTTCCCGGGCGCCGGGTTCAGGGTTGGAGTTCTCAGAGATGAACAAGTCAAAATCTCGGCAATGTGTGGGTGCAGGACATTAGATCCCGACAGTCATATGCTAATCCCAAACCCCAGGGACGGAAGTGCACTAGGCCCTGAATCCCTACAGCCAAGCTTCAAACCCCAAACCCTGAACTTGAAATCCCAAGCTCTCAACAATCTCGGAGCAGATTACGTGCTAGAACTTGTTCCAACGCCTCAGGGATTCGAAATGCTTCTTGCGAAGGGGGCATCTTTCCCTGCAGGCTCCTGGCACTACGAAATCAGTATTCACGTGAGCCAAAGCACAAGGGCTCCTGGTAACAACAGACCTTACAGGCAACGTCACATTGGAAAACAGCTCTAAGTAAAAGGCCAGAGGTTCTTGCCCCAGGCGACGACCGTCCCATCCGCACGCAGCGCAGCGAAAGCCGCGCAGGATGCCTGATCGCGTCCCACAAAGCTGCAACCTTATTTTGGGGTCCTTATAATAAGGATCCTACTATTTAGGTTGCTATATTAGGGCCCCCTATTTTTGGAAACAACTCCAACTTAAACTGAAGGGTGCGCCGCTGATGTAACAAGTTTCTAGAACCCGGACTCTCGATGTCTGGGTGCCGGAGCCTGAACCCCAAAGGTAATATAGGGGCTTTACTAGTTAGAATAGGGCTTTTGCGGCCATTAGACTATACTTAGAATCAGGAACCCCCAAAATAGTATCGGTAATTGTTCAGGCCCCTATAGTCTAGGGGGACCCATTATACAATAATCACAAAAGGGAACTCCCAAAATAGTATAGGTAGTTATTCAGCTGCCTGTATAGTCTACGTATAGTAATTACACCTCAAGTGCAGAAGGCCGTGACTAGGCCTGGATCTCCTTCACGTTCTTCAGACACTTTCGGACGGCCTGGCTGTTGCCACCTGCAATAACTAAGGGTGGGGTTTTGGGGTTTAGGGCTTGGGGTTTAGGGTTTAGGGCTTGGGGTTTAGGGGTTTAGGGTTTAGGGTTTAGGGCTTGGGGTTTAGGGCCTGGGGTTTAGGGTTTAGGGTTCAACTCCCCCAGCCAGATAAGGCTGCGAAGCCCGAAGGCTTGTAAGCAAACGGCGCAAGACTATACAACGGCATGCATCCTACAACAACGAGGAGAGTAGTAGCACCATTCATGGTCACATCATCTCAACAGAAAGGAGGCCGTTGAAGAGTACGGAACTGTAGTATACGACTATCTCTGCATTATATATATATATATATGTATACATACGTTGTTATAGTAGGTTTCAGTATATTTTCATACTAAAGCACATTATAAGCTCTAATTTCAGGCAAGGAAACATCAGCCGTTTGGCGTGAATGGACCTTGTCTCTTGCCGCTTGACGAACTCGGTGAAGCTTCGGAGTGTGTTGGTTTACAGAGCATGTAGCATGTATAGGGCTGTTTAAGGGTTTATCAGGCACAAGCCATAGCAACCCAAATATGTCACAGCAGCAAGTTACCTCAATAGGTGCTTTGAAACGATCGAAACAAGCAGGAAACCGCACAGCCAACTTAGAGCAGCACCGACTCAATCACCCTTGAGCTGGGAACCCAGGAACCAAACCACCCGGGCCAAATAGAACAGAAACCACCCCGCTCCAGAAAGTCAAAGCTTCTGAATATGAGGTCAAAACCCTAGCCCCTTCTGAAACCCTTTTGCAACTGGCCTGCTGCGACTCCGCCAGGACGAACACTTGACCACAATGACTTAGTGAGTAAGCCTTCTGAAACCCTAAAACCCTGAACCCCCTACATCTCTGAACCAGATCCTAAAAGCGAGCTGTGACCAAAACCGCCTTGGTCTTGGACTCCCCAGGTCACCACGCCACCATCCGAGCGGATCGCGGCAAAAGCGCTGCCGGATGCCTGGATGTGCTCCACCTTCTTCCTCGGAAGGCTAGAGACCTTGAGCTTCAAGCTTATAGGTTATAAATAACTGGCACTTGGAACAACAAACATAGTTGCATCTAAGAAAACCTCAACCTCAACCAACATAAAAGTAAACCCCAAACCCTACATCCCTACATGTAAACCCTACAGGCTTCAGGCTGACCTCCCGCTCTCTGGGCTGCTGCTGAAGACTCCCTGGGGCGATTGCAACACATGTTTACATACGTAGACTAACGAATAAATGCACAACAAGATATCAACTTAATGAACAAATAAAACACATGCATAACCACATCAGGTTAACCAAGTAATTAAACACATACTTAAATACGTACATATATATATACACATACATACATACTTGTTTGCACGCAGCTGCCCGGAACATTTTCATGTGTGCTAACACCCATTTGTCCTACATACGGAGGCGACTCACCTATGGCAATCTTCAAAACGATGTCCACAATAGGTATGCACATGCATCCATGTCTAGATAGAAAGAAATATGTAACTGTGATGTAACTGATCCCGAATCCTAAACCGTGAACCCTACCCTAAACCCTAAACCCCAAAAAATAAGCCCTAAACCCCAAACCCCTAAACATCCATAAACCCTGAAAAATATGCCCTAAACCAAAAAAATAAGCCCTAAACCACAAAAAAAAGTTCTAAACCACCAAAAATAAATCCTAAATCCAAAAAAACAGCCCTAAACCATCAAAAAATACGCCCTAAACCCTATAGCCCTCTGAAATGGGCCCAGGCTTCAGACGCCTCTTCACTGATCGGCTGTCTCCGCCAGAGCAGGGCTCACCCCAGGTGGCGACCGAGCCGTCCTAAGTTCCTAAAGTTTCGGGTTCTTTAGGAATTTTTGCGGGTTTACAGTTGAAGCTCTAGGGTTAAAGCGCTGCACAAGGGTCCGAGAATGGAGGGTCCAGAACCGAACTAACAAGGGTCCAGAGATGTTGGATGAGCCTTCTCTCAGTCCCAAAATACCAGGCACTAAACCGCAAGGTCCGTGGGATGCACGAATCGGGCTGGGGACTCCAAGCCGAGGACACTTTGCGGAGTTTAAGAATTCGGAACGTGGGGTGATGATGACTCAAGGAAACCTTAGCAATTCAGCATTTGGGTGCTTGGCATCACGGCACGAAGCCCCTGGCAACGCGGAAATATGCTTGGAGGCCCCTTTAGCTTCTCAAGTGGTTCCGTAGCCAACGTGCAAAGATGAAGGGTGCTTGCCTATATGAATCAACCGGAAACCCGCCATCAAGGCTGGAAATCGAGGGTTCCCAAACCCGACAGCTGCTTACAGTACAGATAGGAGGCGGTGTAATCAATGATTCCACTGCTACACCTCTAAACAGGGCAGGAACACGCTGATTGTCGTCGAGGATGAAGGTTCGAGTCTTCGGCTGCCGATGATATCGATCTAAACCATCCGAACCTCTCTCCCTTCTGCAGCCACTGCTTCGTTGGTGATGGCAGCCCATGCGTTGCTTTCGTTGTGAATGATGCGCTTCACACCCCGCATCGCATGCAGTTGATGCTGCTTCTTCCGGTCACCGGTGTATCCTCGGATTTGAAGGTGCTCGATGTGAGGGCTTCGGGTGCATTCTAAGATGGGAAGAGGGAAGGAAGCTATCACAAGTACAAAACAACTGTAAGGCCGGTGGCAGTGATGGTGCTGCAGATGGTCGCTGTCGCCGTCGTGACAGCAAGTAGTGCGACTCTTGTGATCCCCACAGATGGTCACGAGCGTATTTTACGGACACGCGGTGAAGTCACTCAGTATTGTCTGAAAGTTGTGGAGAGTCGGCAGCAGTAGACTCGCAAATCAGTTTCAAGTATGTACAACTGCTCGCGGGCAGCTATAAATATCGCCACATCCGATGCTCGGATTTTGTCTGCCCTGCGATGGACCTTCGAATAAGCCCTCAGCACGTGGCCCTGTGGGACGGGCCTAGAAAGGCTAACTTGGTCGACGCAGCTAAAAACACGTTAGAGCTACTGTTGTGAACTTTGCGGTGCCAAAGTCTATGTGCTGCTCCAGGTATCCCCAAGTCTTGATGCGCTCATCGGAGCCAACCGCGGCCCACGTGTCACCCATCATTCGCATCTCCTGCGAACGGCGATTGTTCCAAGGTATGCTTCTAGTTGTCGATACCCAACGAAGTCTGAATACCCAACGAAATCTGCCGTCGGGATGCGGCTTCCCTTCGGAAACACATCGCAGCTGACCCTTGGAGAACATGCCGATATTCTTCGAAAAGTTTACTGTAGAATGATGGCAGGGCGGCGCGCTCGAACCTATACAAGTGTTGAGCACAAAGTCTCTATCGTTGGGGCCATAAACGTACGTTGGCTTAACTGCCAGGGCTTGGGGCTGTGTGCGCGTGTGGGGCATAGTAAACTTTTGGAGTTTAGGGTTTTAGGGTTTAGGGTTTTAGGGTTTAGGGCAGCTTGAATGGAAAGCGAAGGTGGAAGATGTTGCATGCAAGCCAAACCTCGGACTCGCATTGACATAGCCAACCTGAGAAAGGCAGATCAACTGTCAACTCCCTCCGGACAGAATCACTACAAGCACCGCCCAGGTCTCCGAATTCCTTTGCTGACGGATCGCAGAACTAAGGAACCCTACCGTAAGGAGAACCCGAGTACAGTTTGATTAAGGCTTTGAATTAGGAGTTCTGCAGCCGACCTTCCTGTAACTGAATAAGCCCCTTGCGTCCAGCACAACGACAATAATATAGCGCCTGTTGGGGTTCCTCGTTACAATTAGACGATAATGGGGCCCAAAACCCTATTCTAATTATGACGGCCCCTATTAGTGTCAATAGACCACCGGGTGTACACTTTACAAACGTAGAGCCCCCAATAAGTAACACAGAGAATTATCAGGAATCCCACGGTTGCTCCTTGACATCGGAGAGTCCGGTTCTGTAGATGCCTTCTGCCTGGTCCAGCCCGGGGAGGTGCACCTTGCATCATCATCGAAACTGTCGCTTCGCACAGACCCCTACCCCAAAACCAATCCCCCACCCTACTGTAGCCGGAACTGCAAAATCATAAAGCATTCATACTAAGCGAAAGCGAGAACCCCACAATCCCAGGTGCGGTTTGTTAGGATTGGGTCGTTTGACACCTACCTTGGAGATTTCTGCGACGGCTTCGCAGCTTCGGGTGGCACATCTCAGCGTGAGAAGTGTCTTGCTTCAGAAGTGCCCGTGGCAGCAAGCGTGCAGCCAGTAGACCCGCAACCCCGAACCCGATGTAAACCTGAAATTCCTTCGGCAGCTGTCACAAGCCATGCTCAGCCGGTTCTAGCATCAGGGAAAGGTTTTCGGGCTTAAGGCTTGGACCCATGTTGATAGACCTGCTTTCTCGAGCAAGGCACATCAGGATCGATGAAGCCCCAGGACACCACCTGCACAGTGACACTTGCTCCAATACAGGGTCCTTGACAATCAGCATAGGGCTTTGGGAGTCGACTATACCATGGATTATAACTCTGTCAGCGATCGAAAGCAATTCTTACTTGTTCAATGCATCCGGAACATTAGCGGCCTAGCTCTGCAACCTCACTTCCCCTGCCGGTTTTCAGTTCAGGATTTAGGATCGGGTTCCAGACGTCGGGGGTTAGGTTTGTAAGAGTCCGAGCACTGAACTCTATAGATTCTAGACCTAGCACTCCCGGTCTGTGCTTGTGGCGGACGTTGGCAAAGTGCTTTCGCGTTTGTAGCTGTTCGGCCATTCGGGCTTGAGACCTTTCAGCAGTCAGAAGGGCGCGATCATGGGTGAGCCTCATACCACGAAGGACATGACTCTGAGACGCCATCTGCTAGCTCAGCTCCACAAAAAAAGGCGTTGAGGTTTTGCCTGGCCCACTCCCCTGAAACGAACCCAAACCCTAAAACATGACCGCAGCTGACAGAATTGGAGTGCCCCCGTGAACACCAAACCAAAACCTGCCTGGCCATGTTCTTTGATGGCGGTGAAGCCCGGGAAGCCTCTCCTCACTCTCCGCGAAAATGTCCGAAACTTTCCTAAACCCTACTTTAAGGGCCGTAGTCCTCAGACTTGGGTCCAATAAGGGGTCGATCAGAGTTGAAGTCATTGAAGGCCATGGCTTGTGCAAAACTCAAAAGCTTCAGAACCCGATTGCCAGAACGAACTTTCGGTTTTCACTCCCCTGTTACTAGCACAACCACCAGGCACAGTAAGGATACCTTACCCACAGGCCCCATAGTAGTTCCTTTTTGGGATGACCATACAGAATTTCTACATTATTAGCCCCAGAAAGAAACTACCATGCGGCCTATGGGTAAGGACTCTGAGACTCTAAAGCTTCCACCGCCCTTCATCAGTCAGCAATGGCAATCCCCCCCGGCCGGTGCTTGAAGGTTGCCCGTGTCTGAGGGTCACAGCATCAACGAAGCAGAGACAGCGGTGCCTGAATTGTAAATTTTGCATGGTCTCATCTTCCGGAAGTCCAAACAACACCACCCCGCCGACCCCCAGCAACAGCAGTACAATTCATGTCCCCTGGTGAAGGCACAAATGGCAAATGGAGCCTTACGCAGAAACCTCTTCTGACCCGAGCTTCTGGATGCACCGCACGCCGTGGAGGTATTGCTGCACCTGCGGACTAGGTTTCTTGTCAAATATGGGGCCTTCATAGTTTAACTTAATTTTTATTCAGTTATTTTGAAGGTTTTCCTTTACATATTGGCTCTGAGTGTTTTATCGGCTACATGTCATTGATATAAGAGGATCTGATGAACATATTCAAACTCTCTACAAGGTTTACGACCAAGTTTAGGGTGTAAGGTTCAGGGGTGAGTCAGGGTTGAGGGCTCGGCCATGGCGCGGCGCTTCGGAACGGCTAGAAGTCCCAACACTCAGAGTCTCTACGGCCCAAGGCCACCATCGGAAACCTCAGCCCAAACAGTGCAGCCCTATCTTGCTGTGCACTGTCGGAGGGTTTCCGCACAAAAGGCCCCCGGTACGCTTATCGTAGGAACTCAAGCGGTGCAGCACATGCCGCAGGACAACGCGTGTTGCCCTCTCTCAAACAGATTATCTTCTACAACAACTCAGCAAGGAACCCCCAAAGGGGCACCTGGGAACAACCCATGTCACTGTCGCGCGGTGGCCTCCAAACCCTAAGCCATCCTCCAGCCCTAAAGACTTAGAGGCCTCAAGCCCTGTAGCAAGTCCATAGAAACTATACGGCCTCTTGGCTGTTGCCGCCCTCCTCGTCGGCGCCCCAGGTGACCACGGAGCCATCTGCTCGGAGAGCAGCGAACGCTGCATCGTTGGCCTGGACAGGCTTTGAGTTTTTTTGGCTCTCGCTGCAGATGACACAGAGTTTCGGGTTTGGGTGAAGGCTACCTGGGGCTCCAAGCGCATTCATACGGCCGCAAAAGGCTTTACAGGTTGTGCTTCGTAGTTCCAGGATTCCAGGGTCACAAAGTTTGTTGTGGTCACAAAGTTTCGTTGTGGCACGATGACTTCGGATTCATTGCGCAAGTACATACAAACTGCAGCACCTACTAAATGCCTGGTGTAGGTTGGGGTCTTGGGTCCTCACGGTTCATAATTGTTTAAGAATGTCTAAGATCCAGGGCCCAAACCATACTATGTAACGGTTGTGCTACTACTTCCATACAGTAACCTACGTCGAGATCGAGCACCGAAGATTCCACTGCCACTCATTGATTTGCGCCGTGTGCACGTAGCATGTTGGGGCTGGGCTTTTCGAATCTTGAACCTACAAGGCTTATGGCGTCAGGTTCACGGTACCCTTCCAGCCTGAAGCTTTACAGTTCCTGATAGCGATCCTTCTACGAACCTGTCTAGAAAGGTTATAGAAACCACTTTATTGAAACTCCCTAAACCCTAAACCGCCTGGATCTGCCGGACATTTTGCAGCTTCCCGTAGACGAGGTCGCAGTTGCCACCAAGATGAGGCATCCCCCAGGTCTCTACGGTGCCGTCTTGCCTGGGGCTTTAGGGTTTAGGCTGACCCAGAGGCCCCATAGTAGTTCCTTTTTGGAACTACCTCATAAAATTCTAAATATAAACCCCAAAAAGGAACTACTTTGGTGCCTATGGGTAGGGTTTGCTTTGAAAACTAGGGTATTTTGCGGGATACGTGTGAAGAAGCCCTGGGTGCGGAGAGAATCCTAAAGGTAATAAAAACGGAGATGTTTGTTTAGATAGTTCGGAAAGAACTTACCAATTCATATGAACTTATCCCCTGAGCCTCCACTTGCTTTTGAAGTTTGGAGTCTGGGGCCTAAAGGTTATAGAAGGGTACCATATAAGGCTTCAGTACAGTCTGCGGGTTTGGTCCGGGTTCCAACAGGCCTCTACGGTGTAGGGTTCTTTGCGGTCGTTACAACGGGTCAAGGACTTGCAGTTTGGGCTGATACAAGAAACCTCTGATGAAGAACAGCTCAAGCTACATGCACGATTTCTCATGAGTTTTGAAGCAAGATATTGTCAAGGTGCCATGCTGGCCTGAGTATTAGCGTTGGGCATTGGGGTCCGGGAGGGCTTAGGTAACACCACATCAAATGGTACCCGTCCTGCCTCATAACAGGTTCCCGGAAACACCTGGCTCCAGTGACAACTTGCTGCTAAACGACAAAGCCAAAGCCCGAAATCCTGTGACGAGTGGCCGAAGAGCGGCAAAGGCACCACTCGTTGATTGAATTTGGCTCACGTCGACGAGGCGCCACTGGACCGTAGAGCTGTCGCCGCCGAATTCTGGGTTGCCCCAACTGACCTCCAATCAGGGTCCACTTCAACTAGTGTAGGGCCCTTAATGAGTTTGAATAGGGTTTAAACTGTTTAGACTAGAAGAGAAGTTGCTCCGACCCAGGATCAGGGAGCAAAGGACAACTTAGAGAAAGAAAAAGGAACTTTGCAAAGTTCACTTTGAGATACGACTCTTCCATCGGCACAAAGGGCCGCGAAGGCGGCTGCGGTGGCTTGGATTGACTGCACATCGTGCAGTTGGTCCTGGATCGTATTCCCTAAACCCTCTTCCCCAAACTCCAAATCCTGAGGCCGAAACCCTGTCTTATCCCCAAGTAACCTACCTGTTTCAGGACATACAAGGAAATCAAAATAGGGAACCCAAATGGTAGGTTTTTTAGGGTCCAGGTAAACCCTTAAACCCTAAGTCCTTTTTTAGCACTCGCACTCGGTTTGGGGGTGAACCTAGATTGAGGGGTCGAGCGCATTGGCTCTCGGTTCATTAACTTCCGAGCACAAAGTCGTCAACTCACACTCACAACAAACCCTAAACCCTTAAACCCTAAAGCCTAAACCCTAAACCCTAAAAACCCAAAAGCCTTGGTCCTGGACATCGCTGCAATCGCCACCTTCCCATTGATCTCCCCAAGTGACAACCGAGCCATCTGCGCGGATGAAGGCGAAAGCACTTTCCTTGCTCCCACGGCTTCGTTCGGGAAACATGAAAGACAGGAATATTCTTTCTTATACATACACACGTAAGTTCAGGCAAAGCTATATGTAACCTGATCAAAAAGCCTATCCCCTGCTATCAAGGCCCTCGAGTCCTTGCGGTTCAAAGTAACGCGTGAAGCCGGAATCCGATCAAGACGAGGCAGGCACGGATTCAGGTAAAAGACAAGGCTTGCATGCGACCGTGACATGCGAAGGTACTTACTAGCATCAATTGGGGTTCGGGGGATAGTAGCAGTACAGCATAGTACGGTAGTGGTACAGCAGTAGTAGTAGTCGTGCAGTAATGCAGTAGTACAGTGATAGTACAGTAGCAGAGCGGTAGTGGCGGGCCCTTTTAGTCGGGACCCTCAGCTTCATTCTGTGCTTACGGGGACAGCGGGCGATAGCCTTGCACCACTTCCCAAATCCCATTCTTCAAGAGGCCTTTGACAAAGAAGTCCTTGCTTTCTGGAGGCTGAGGTTTGGCCGGCAGCAGTTTATAAAGGAGAGAGAACAAAGAGACCCAGGGAGCGACGAGATCCGGCAGAAGCCTTCCCAACCAAACATCACTAGACTTCCCAAAACCTAAACCCCTAAACTCCTAAGGTCCTAAACCCTAATTAAACTTCCAGAGCGTCCGTAGCCCGCAACGCCACCTTCTGCGTGACCACTGTGATGGTATCGCCATCTTGCACACCGGCATCTGCCAAGCTGCCCCGCCCTCGAAGGAAGCTACCTCGCGCGTTTTGTGGGGTTTGGGGTTTAGGTCTAGGGCGTCCTACGGCCATTTTCGGGTTTCTGGCTTCGGGCCACTTGAGGGTTCAAGCTGTTTCGATTTTAGTGGCTTGGGAGACTAGAAACCCTCACGGTACGTGCCATGCAACTGCCCCATGCTATCCCGGATAACCAAACGAAGACAACAAAACCTGATAACCCCAAACCCTCCAAATCTGACCCCTTTTTTAAGCACGGACTTGGAGTGTATGCCGGCAGCGAAGCTCTCTGGCAGAGCCTTCCTCAAACCCCTAAACTCTAAACCTTTCGATCCTCTCACCCCTCAACCCTCCAAAGACCCCTTTCAGAAGCTCGGTCCTCCAGAAGACACCAGCTTGCCGACACTCCGCCCGAGAGCCTGCGACGCTTTGGCCCGGAGAGTCTCCACCGAGCGACTAGGATCCAAGGATACCTGGGCTCAGGGCTTAGGTTTTCTGAGTTGTCCTTTAAGCCCCTTTTCAAAATTATTTACGATTCTGGTTCTCTACAAAATAGTAGGGGGAATTAAAAAAGATCCCAAAGCACAACCCAGTTTAGGGGTTAGGGTTTCGGGATTTTTTCCCTCCTGCTTGGCAGGGGCGAAGCCCGCATTGCATCGGATGGGTTTTGGGTTTAGTAGGGTTTTGGACCTAGGTTTAGGACTTAGGGGGCATTTAGGATCTGGATGCAAGTAAGGGTTGGAAGCACCTTCCCGTCTCCGATATTCCACTCGGCGGTTTGAGGTTTAGGATTCGGGGAGCATCCAGCTAGTAATATCTTGACACCTAGACTTAGACTTGCTTTGTTAATGTACTCTCATTGCAGCTTATTGAGGCAAGTCTTTGATTTCGATCGCTTTGCACCTGCGGTCTTGCGCGTGATTTCTTTAACAGTCGAAAGCCTTCTGTTGTTCCAAAGCAGCATTAATGTATCTCCATACCCTGGGTTGAAACAAAAGACTGCCGCTTTGGAGCAGAAAGCAACCCAAAACCCCAAAACCCTGAAGCCCCAAACTATAAAATCCCAAACTCTCAACCCTAAAGCACGCGACTATTCACCCTGAACAGAATTCAAACGTCTACCTAGGGTAGTGACCCACCCTGTAACAATGCACATTCGGGGTCATAAGAAGTGCTGTCCAGTTATAGACTATGCATACTATCCAACTGCTACAGAGTGTGGGCATACCCAACGTCTACCAGCTCTTGGTGAGAAGCAGACGCGGCCTCGCCGCTGAGAAGGCAAACGGTCACAGTAATTGCCATTGCTTCGCGGAAGCTGAACTTTCAATTTTAAGTGCCTTCATAGCTTTGGGGATCCATATACATATATATATATATATATATATAGAGTATAGTCCACGTGATTCTGCACGGGCTTTAACGGGAAACGATGCTGTACATATTCCACGCCTTTTCTCGCCATTCCGACCCCTACTTAATAATGTTCGGGTCTCCTTGGGTGTCCTTGTGAGGGAATACAACCGATAAGAAAACCTGAACCATCTGGACGCTTGGAGCAAGGAGGCGCGGGTGATATGTCGCGGAAGGAACACATATTGGCTCTCAGACTGCAAACCTGTCCAAGCCAAAAAAAGACCTAGCAGCCCAGTGGGTGAGAGACTTGACGGGGGGAAATCATGCATGGAACGAGGAACCGACACAACTCGCCGGCGCTTTAATTATGCGCGTTGATCCTCATGCTTGACAGGTCGAACAAAGCCCTAAACCCAAGCCCTAGTTCAACCTAACCGTCTGAACGCGAAACTCTGGACAGAGAAAGCCGCAAGAACCCGAATCTCGGCAACCTCGCGCAAGCGTGCCGAACCCAAATCCTGAAAGTCCAAGCCGTCATCTTAAAACTGGTGAACTCTCGTCCTTAGATCTTGCAAAGCCCCGAACTGGCAAGCTACACGTACTTACCCATAGGCCCCATAGTAGTTCCTTTAGAATCCTATAAGGTAATCTACAAAAGGAACTACTACGGGGGCTACAGTATGGGTAGGTCACAAAACCAGCCCTGGCCTGATGATACACGATTCTGCCGCAAGTAAGGCGTGACAGCCGGTAGGATGTGATGGGTATTTTGGGAACACCGCCCACAGCGCGTGGGATCAGGTAGTGTGCCAACTTTTAAAGCCGTGCCAGAGAGGAGCTTGAATGACTATAGAATTGGCAATTGGCTTTTGAGCTGACTTTGACGGACCTCTCATAAACCTCCCTCTCTGACAATGGCGGCCCCTGAGTGCCTGTGTCGGAATCTCGTCCAGGCTCTCCTCGCGCCAAGCGGGCCCGACTCTAAGATATAGGGTGCGACTCTCGCAAGAATGACACGGAGGCCCCGTGTTTTTTTGAGATTTCGATGTGCGGCTCGAGGTGACCCGTTTTTCGTGGATCTCCCGGAGTTGAGCCTCCCTTACTCTTACCTTCGGTTAGTAGGGAATGGAGGCATGGGGTACAATTATAACTACTATTGCTTCCATTCTTCCATTCCCTACTAACCAAAGGTAAGCAGTGCCATCGAAGCTTCAACTTGAAAACCTTATCTCTGGAACCTGTTTCGTCGCTTCCTCTCTCGCGCAGGCCCATAACTTAATCCGAAGATCGACACATGCTGGGGAGACTGCAACGCTTGTGGCGGCACCCTCATAGTTCCCCATTACCGGAAACCCCCTCGCACATCCCCCTTTTGCCTCCGGAAAAGAATTCCATCCCCTCAAAGACCTGCTGGTCATGTTTTGCCCGGCCTTCGAAAGCTTGTTGCCAAGAAAGGCAACAAGCGGAGCCATGTTGATCTGAAGGTCCTTCGGTGCGACGAAGCCGGCAGTGGTACTGAGAGCAAGTTAAGTGCACTATACTGTTACCATTGCAGTATTCACCGATCATAATACGAAAGTAGAGATGCGGGGATGCTCCACGATGAAGAATAAGAGGGCTGCAAATTTGAATGATGACGATGACCCTAAAGCTCATCGTAAGCCTATGGAGGTGGCTGACACATTGACATGCGTGCTGCAATCGATGGTAGCTTTCATGACTGACCAGCTTCTTCAGCATCGGCTTTTCCGTACTGCCATAGCTTTAATGGACACCATGATCGAGATTCTCGGGTTCTCCTAAACTCTTGCATAGTTGCAGCTGCAGGTGTCTGCACTGCAGCACGCATGCTTTGACTGCTGCTGATGCCAGATCTAAAGCCAGCATCATACTCTGCACCTCCAACTCTGAACCCATACCACTGACACTGCGCTTCACCTTAAACTCAGCAACAACAAACTGTTCTCGCCCCCCTTCTCCCTGTCACCCGCCTTGAACTGCGCTCGAAGTGCCCCGATGGACCAAAGATTGCTAAGTGTTTCCTGGCTTCAGGGGCTGGGCTAGATTTATGCAGTTTTAATGTTGAGAAAAACAACATTGTGAACATTCCCAATATTATGCACATTGTTGTTAGAATCCCTGCCCCGGCCCCCCTCCCCACTCCCCAATCTAAGAACCTGAACTCCAGCGCCGAGTGTCAATACTAGGGGGCTGGGTGTGGGTCAGATAGGTGGACTAACTGCTGAAAGAGATACCCTACCACCCTGAGCCTTTAATTAGGCCCTAAACACTGACTGAAGCCCTGAGCCTGCAGCTTGAAGCCTTAAATCCCTAAAGCCCTAAACCCGAAAACCCTAAAGCCCTTACAAGCCTTGTAATCGGTTTAGCACTAGTGTAGTCTTGGGCTCTACTAAACCTCATCCAACCCTAGCTCCCCATTAATGTTCCCTAAGCCCTTTTTCAGCACAAACCCTAAACCCCTAAACCCTAACCCCTAAACCATTACTTTTCAATTGTGGGCCCGAAACCGCAAAGATTCGAAGCCCAGAGTCTTTGAAAACTAGGAGGGCTTTACCCATAGGCCTCATAGTAGTTCCTTTTCGGGGTTCATACTTATAATCCCATAATGTAATCCCAAAAAGGAACTACTGTGGGGCCTATGGGCAATGTTAGGGGAAGGGACTACCTCAGGGCCGGCACTTAGGCTTAGGATGGTGGCCCTTACTGCAGTCGATTGAGAGCACGAAAACGACGTGCCGACTCGAACCGGTCATGCGGACCCGAATCTTTCACCGTAATCCAAGGGTAAAAGGAGGGACCCTTAATAAGGACCCCTAGGTTTTTATACCCTTAATATAGCTATTATATACCCATCATATAGCCCATTATAGGGTAAGGGTCCTCCCTCCTTTTCCCCTTTGACGTAAGCAAACATTTTGCATCAGACTTGTGCTAGGGATTCGCATGGGACCAGATTCACTAAAATAGGGCTTCGGTTTGGCGTCGATGACACCATAGCCATAATAAGGAACCCCAGGCAAGACCATTAGTTACTCTAGTTCTACAACCTTCGTTTTTCAAAAAGCCTAAAAACCTATGGGCTTTCTACAAAAAAAACAAGTGCGCGCAAGATTACCTCGCCTCCGGCGTGAGCTGGGGAGCGGTCTTCGCCAGTCGCACCACCAGCACAGGAAGCACTCCCTGTAAAACTGGGGGCTTACCTATAGTCTCCCATGTAGTTCCTTTCTGGGTTGACTTATAGTATAGGATCCTTAATATATAACTGGTTAAACCAAATAAAGGAACTACAATGGAGACTACAGGTATAGGGTTTAAGGGTCCAGGGAGTCTGGGGCTTAGGGACTCGGACAATCCAGGCGAGGCATGTGGTTCGGGGTCTGCGGAGACTGCGCTAGTTGGGAGTAGTCCAGAAAACAGGGTTTCGACGCTCACACGCGCACACGGCAGGCAAGGCTCCACATAGAAAAGAGGGTTTATGTAAGGGTCCAGGGTTTTGAGGGTTTATCTATGGTTTAGGATTCAAGGTCTCCCGGTGTAGAAAGTTGGCGTCGCGCCATAGTAGGGGCCTCACCATGACGAGGAATCGACTGGTTTGGAAGGATACCGGGAGCCCTGAAGGGCTTGAGGCATACCATGGTGTTACTATAGGGTCCTTCAGTCTTTCAGGAGGACGTAACCATAGGGGACTAAATATTAATTAGAGTAGGGTATTGGGGCCCATTATAATTACTATACTTATAATCAGGAACACCGAAAAGATAGCTTTAGGTAATTATTTAGGCCCCCTTACATGACCCTGAACCATCGAAGCACAAGATGCTCTGCTGGGTTAGTTTGTGTTTCAGGCAAGCTCCAAGTCTCCATCGCAGCTCGGATTCTTAAACTCGCGGTCGTTTATTGTGGGCCTTTGCAATAAAGTTCCATGATGCGTTGCAGATGAGCAGGTCTTGGATTGGGGTCAGCGTGCATACGGCGTCGGACACCCACCGGACCAAACTATGTGAACACCACACCGCTCCTGCCTGCAGCATCGGCGATTCCTTGCACATCTCTGCCACGGCCCACAACGAGTCAGTGGTACCTGTGGCCTCACGGACACCAAGAGTCAAACATATTTTTTCGGTGGAGGTGGTGCACTCTCGCCCGATCGCAATGGAACACCCAGAATGAGCATAGTGAGAGGAGAACGGGCAAACTGTCCTGTCTCTATGCGCTATAGAGCTTAACTTCACTGTCGCTTTCAGGATTCCATTGGTCCTCACTTCACATGATACACTCTTGCAAACTCAAGACAAGTCTTCTGCAGACTTCGCCATGCCGCAGCCTCTGCAATCTTAGGCTCCGAAAACAGCAAAAGCATCTGCTAACAAAACTCGAACTCTCTTTTGCCTTTTGCCGACGAAACTTCGGCGGAATGAGGCTCGTTCAATCGAATCTGTGTTTTCAACGACAAGGTCAAAGCAGCTCTCATGGATGCTGCTTAGCATGGGCCTGCCTAATAACCTTACTTACCCAATAAGCCACAGAAATGAAAGGTTAAGCTTTCCGATTCCTACTGAACTATAAGAACCCCAAAAATTTAAAGGTAGGTTATGGGGATCTAAGTAGCACCTTGAGTTTGACCCTAAATCCGCAACGCGGATGCTTCTGGAGACCACTTTGGGGCTGGCTTTTTTCTGAGGTTTCCTCAGATGCAGCCAATACGGCAACTGCGGCCATCAAGGCCAAATGAATTCACGAAGCTGCAGAAGAGCTGGTTCGCCTCAGTGTGTCAAAATGATCCCCAAGATGTGTGTTTGTGCTTAATAGTCGTAAAAGTCTTCGTACTAGTATTCGTAGTCGTATCAGAATAATGTAGTAAATTATCACCACAACCGGCCGCAACCAGGGAGCACGGTTGACTACCTGCTTGCTGAAGTGCAGCAAAGGAGCTTGACCACGCAGCCACACACCTGTAGCATTGAGCTCCTCGGCTGCCAGCCTCCACTGCGCAGAGCGTTTGTACTGAATGATGAACCCTTTTTTGAACCCTAAACCCCTAAACCCTAAAGCAAGATCAACCCTGGGCCTAACCGTTAACCCTCGGACCAACTTCAGTTTGATCCCCTTGCCTTGCTCCTCCCTGGGCGGGCGTAGTTGGTCCCGTAGGCTCCGGAAACAAGTAGTTTGGGCCGGTAGGCTCCCCAAAGAAATAGTCCCAAACCTGGGCTGGGCAAGTGGGAAGTCGCGAGAGGCGTCACAACTAGACAACTTGTAACTTAGCTAACCAGGTACTGAGCATTCTGATCAGAAAAATTCTCCGGCTTGAAGATATCAGTATGATACTTGTATAGTGATACCTTCAAACAGGAGAACTTTTGATCAGAATGCTAAGAGTGCTTAGAGAAGTGACAAGCTCGTTCGGGCTCCAGGGGTCAACCCTTGGCCTCAGTCTCTTGTTCTCAAGAGCTCAGAAGTCTCGGATTTGGGAGTTGGGGCTTCAGTGCCCGGAGCTGGCAGTATATTTTCTACATACATATGTATACAGACAAACATACATATAATATAATATGATATGATATAAAACAATATGACATAATATTATGTATATATATATATATATATATATGTGGTCGTATTATTGTATGTTCTATCAGGATTGATGTACAAAATCCCGTAAACCCTGAAGCTGCAGTGCACCCTAGTATCGAAAACATACTTATATAAACTCTAGCCGAGGCACTGCTTTTTGTGTTTCCACCCACTCCTCCATAGCAAGCCTCTGGCAAAACAGGGGACCCTCAAACTCCTAGGAGGGGGGATGGGGGGCTTTCCGGCAGGGTTTGGGGGATCTTTGAAGATCCAGGCGAAGCACATAGCTCAAGGCCTCTAGAGTCTCTAGAGAAACTCCACTAAGGGTTGGGGGCGGTTGAGGTGGATTTCTTGCCGGGCTTGGGATACAGGGTGTCATATCTGTGTCTTCGAGCTCCAGGTACCTATATATATATATATATTTTTTTGGCTCCCGCATGGCATGTCTGGCGACTGCATGGCAGGTGACAAGCGTTCTGAGGTTGCGAGGACCTATCGTCACAGCTCGACAGCGTCCTCCATATATCCGGCCCCCCACCGACACTCCAACAACCAGGCAACCGAAACCCACACCCTACAACACGACCCCAGTAGAAAACATGCTGTGGTAGGGACCAAGCCGGAAAACAATGTCAGCTACACCAAGGTTGAAAAGGCAGTGCGAGCAAGTGCAAGGACAGTACAGTTCACAGTGCCAGGAAAAGGGTTCTACCAAGGCTGCAGTGAAGGACGGGCCTCTAGGTACAACAGCGATGCAACACTAAGTTAGAGCCACAGAGTACTTGCAGGACCGTCCTACTCATACGGGAGATCGACTATGCTGCCAACAAAAAGATACAACACTAACTTCAAGCCATACAAGACGTCGACCTCCAAGCTAAGCTACTTCGATGCTGCCCCGTAGCATCTGTCACATTTCTTGTTTCGAGGTCTTCTGTTTTCTTGCATAAGCAGGCTGCCGGATCAGAAAGCGACGAGGCGGTCATGGTGTGGCACTCCGGGCCATGGCTATGTCATGAGCAGGACGCCCGAAGTCAGAAACGTCTGTAGCTCCCAGCCCCTCAGACGTGAAATGGCGGCCTCATTGGCCAAAACGCCCAGTGCTTGTGCTCGCTTGGGCTCAAGACCCCGAGCGCAGCGAGCACACTGTGTGGGAGGCACTTGCAAAGACTAGCATTGTCTGCCCCCGTCGCCAAGCTCACATATGTTCAAAGGCATTCGCACCTGTGGCGCCCTCAGTCACGCGCCGGCAGCTCTCCAGTTTGTAGCTTTGTCGGAACTCAGCACACACAGCAGGGTCCACAGAGTCGCTGAGCGCAGATCACGAGAGGGTTCCTGCACTGTTGCTCGGCACAGCCTCCTTGCAGACAGATGGCCTGATGGCCGGTAGCAGGGAGATCCCAGCCCAGGAAAGACAGCGAAACAAACAGTACGTCTCCAGAGCTGCATCCAGCACTCATACAGATAGAAGATGCTGCCAACGCTGCAAAACCGTTCAGAAAGGCTGTTCACCTGCGGACTTTCGACAGCCATTGTGTGTTCATGCAGCATCATCGAAGCCATACAGGTCATCGCCAGAGTTGTAGCACATGGCTCCATGGCATCGGCGATGGCGTGGGTTAGTGGTTTGCCTTAAACGACGATTGCCTGTGGTTTGTCTTAAACGACGAATGCCTGAGGTCATGGTGCCAGAACTAGGAAAACGACGACGTAACGAACGAAGGGTAGGGCGCTCGGAGAAGGCCAGAACAGACAGACAGTATCAGTGCAAGGAGTGAAAACGAAACCTCAGAGTACAAGGCAAGGAGGGCAGTGCGCAGTGCAAAAACAAGGAGAACAGTGCAAAGCAGCAGGGCAAGTGGCAAAGCAGTGCAAAAAGGAGCAAAGCAGCAAAGTGTTTTCAGGTAGTACGGATGCATGTTGCACGCATCCACTTGCAGCCAAGGCGCCGAGAATCACCTGGAACCTGAGGCCTGGCCTAAGAAAAGAGAACACCTTCAGTTTGCCGTTTCTGCCCTCGTGCCGCCAAGCATCACCTGGAACCTGCTGCCTACTGTTCGGGTTCGTCTCGTTGCGTAACAACTATGACGTCATGCTGGTCACGTACTGTTGCAGAGAGCTCTAGGGCCTGTCGCATGGTGAGTTGTTTGAGACGCTTGGTTTGACAGTGCGCGCACCCCAAAGTCGCTGATCTAAGCATGACGAGGCTAGGCAACCGAAATCCTAAATCCCTCAGCTCTTCATCCACCCACCAAGACAGTGTGCTTGCGTAGAGAGTCGAGAATGCTACTAGGATGACACGGTTGGTGGGATCGCTAGTGGCATGACCTGCGTGCAAAAGCTGCCGGGAATCGAAGATGTGGGGCGCCCTGATACTGAAAACGGTCCCCAAAAGTGGCATCCCTTTGAAAGTTTTGGAAACCGATCCAACCCTGTCCTGAACCCAAATACCCTCATCGTCCTTAGTGTCACTGAGCGCCACGACTGCAGCCTGCGTGGGTCCGTTACGAATATCCCTATGAACTACATCGTAGCACCCCTGGCGAATCACAAAGGTGGTGTAGTGATGAGTTGGGCATACATGTGCAAGGTACTTGGTGACCACTAGGCAGAACAGCGGGAAACGCTTGGTGAACTGCAGGACATCTGATCTGGTACGTGGCGAAGCCCCCGCTACAATGTATGGTCCATGAGCACTCGCTTTGAGGATCCCAGCCGGAAGCAAACGAAAAAGCTTGAGAATGTGGGACCTGTCAGGAGGGGTCGGGTATTTGAGTATGCGTAGGGCACGGTTTTCTACCACACCATCAGGTCCGGACGGGACCTCGTATGGCTGCATCCACCTGGGCTCCATGTCTCGATTCCTCGGTAGGTCCTCCTCATCGGAGCTCGCATCTACAACGGTGGCAAAACTCAAAGGCTCAGGGACAGCAGACTCCACTGAACTAAGGCACAAGGTCTGCGAGGGTGCAGGGACCAGGGGTCCCGGAAACATGTCCGTGGTCCTATTAAGCGAACCTGAGTTCCCACGATACTCTTGAGCCATAGTATATATATATATATATATATACATACATAGGAGGAGTCTGTGCATTGGTGTGCGCTGGCAGAAGTACTCCTATGCATGCGCATCCGTAACGAATGGCCATCTTGCACCACCCCCCGCTAGATCCTTTAAATTGCTGGATCCCTCTACGAGATGCGCAACCCTAAGCTCTAAAAGCCTTTGGCCCACATCCGGAACTCGAGACCACAATCCAAACTCCAGAAGCATTAAACCCCAAACCCTGAATATGTGAAGAGGTCGAATACACCGGCCTTAACGATTAGAATGATTTTAACTGGGTTTGGGTGTCATACCGGTTTTTTTGATCAAGGAACTAAACTTACCAACTTTTCCAAACTCTATATCGGTAGTTCTCTAGATTAAGGTGCCTGTTTTCCTTAAGGATCCCTTTACAGGTAGTACCCATGTTGGCAATATTGGACATAACGGGCCTGGCTCCTCCCTGGGAGGGGCTCGGTCCGGGCACCTTGGGCTTCACAGCGCCACCTGACATGGTTTACAGCAAACCCCATAAATTTGGAAACCGGATTTAGGCCAAACAGTGCTGGGATTCCTTATACATGACTTTTAAGGATTGAAGCTATTGGGTTTCCAACTTTTGGGCTTCTACTGTAGGGGTTTCGGGGTGCAGTTGGAGTAGGATTTCGACTTTAGGGTGTCGTTGGGGGAGCTTAGGGGCCTAAGGTACCCTAAACGCTAAACACCTAAACCCTAAACCCTGAACTCCTAAACCCCCTTCGGGCCAGGGTCTTTCACAGTTGTTGTGGATATTGCCGTCGGGTCTTTGATACAAAAGCCCTAGCGGGCAGCCTCATGCCACCAACTCACCAAAGAACTATGCTAACTATGCCACGAATTATAAAGGGTCCTTGCTATGATCCGATATAAGGTCCAATTTGGTCCGTCGTGTGTCTGAGTCATCGTCATCAACATCATCATCCCCAATATCGTAAGGATCAATATGATGGTAACCATCAGCTCATTCACCATCATCATCAACCACATCACCACCATTATCACCATCATCTAGGCATCATCTTCTCATTAGAATCAGCATCACCACCACCGTCAGAGTCGACATCATCCTCGGCAGGATCATGAGCATCATCAGCTTCAGCAACGAGACAATCCTTTTTGATAAACCCTAGACCCGAAACCCTAAACCTTAAACCCTGAACCTTAAACCCTAAACCCCAAACCCTAAACCCTCCCCAAGCCTGGCCTGAGACGTTGTCGCGCGCTTTGGCGTAGACGCGTAGCAAGCATGCTTTAGCAAGGCGCTGGGATTCGATCTCTTTGTCACAGCTGCCACCTGAACAGGGGCCTTCATACTTAGAATAGGGCTCCCTTAAAGGGGTCTATTTGGGATCTATAATCGAGTTCTGCCTTCATACTTAGAATAGGGCTTTGGGGTGTAGTATACCACATTTACTAGGATGCCCAGTAACCTAGGAATAAAAAGGGCTCCCTTTTTGGTATTGAGTAACTGTATAAGGGACCTGGGAGTACAGAAAGGGAAAAAGGGCTCACTGGGAGGCCTAGTGTTCAGTAAGGAACCCGCCAAAAACAGGAGGGGAAATTATTTAGGCCCCAAAAAGGAGATGAGTTCATCAGGGTGGGTTGGGTCTAGCCACAAAGGAGTGTCATTACAGGGACATGAGGTGCCTAGATTTGCCCTCTCTTATGGCCGTTGCCGTGGCTTCTGCCGTCGTGTAAGGGTTCCAAATTTATTGTTACTGCGAGCAGCTGCAGTCAAGGCAGCAGCAGAAGCTGTGGCAGCAGTACGTAGAGTCGCGACAACGATCTTGTTATGAGGCTGGTGGCGACAACGAGCATGAGAACAACACTATGATGCGCGTAGTGATGATGCCGATGGTGTGGTCAGGCGTGTTGGGTGAATGGTGGCGACTTTGACTATCACATCCGTGTTCGCAGTGCTGATGCATGGGAGGGATTTCATCCACTCTCCTTGTTGCATTAGCATCCATCCTCGGATACAGCAACCTGACAAGCTACATGACACCTTATACCATGCAGCTACGGCGTCTTCTCCCATTATAGCGAACCCCAGAACGTTGGAACATGGATTTAGGATGATAACTGCTAGAATCCCCCCTTTGACTTTACCTTAAGGCTATCAGGATGATGACGTTCCAACTTTCTGGCTTCTACTTTAACCCTAAAACCTGTCTCCGACTTCTGCCGAAAGCCTTCGACAGAGATCAAAGCTTCGCCGGTTCCACCTGCCAGATCATGGGCAGAGGGAGGCTCAGAGAGGAAGAATGATTGCCATGGTCACTTCTTCGTTTAGATTTGTGGGGGTTTGGCTAGTTACAGCTTACCTATAGTCTCCATTGTAGCTCCTTTTTTGGGGTTACCTTATAGGATCATTCATATATAACTGGTTTAACCAAAAGAAGGAACTACAATGGAGACTATAGCTTACGACCAAGAGATGCTTCAGCAGGTTCCTACTTGTCGAGTATCATGGGGAGCTGAAGGTTGACCTTTTTGGTCATATAAGGATAATATGGGGGACTATACTACCCAAAAAAGGTTAAAGGTTACCTACTCTTCTACTAGGGGTTCCTGTAGTCATGAACACAGCTGGAACAGTTGCTGGCACGGCGATCGTGGCACCAAAAGTCATGACAACGTCAGCCAATCAGTAACTGGTGCGAATACTGAAAGTGCACATGCCAATGTCAAGGATGATACTGTCAGACAGGTATTGAGATGGGGAACGAAGAATCTACAAAACATATCATGGCAACCTTAACCATGGTATTGAATGAGAGGCATGAATACGTGTTTCTGCGCATTCGTGGTTCCACCGTCATCGCGACAATTTCAGGCTGCGTTTGCCACGTTTGCTCAGGATTCTCGTGTCCCGAGGAGAATCAAGTTCAAGGCTTGAGGTTCTTTCCTGGTTCTCCGAGATTACTCGGTCCGCGGGTGTTCGTTTCCTACGTGTAGCGGGGTTAAGTCGCGTCAGGGCGCGTTTAGTCACAACACCCCAAGGTGACGCTCGATCCGCGTTTAGTCGCATCACCCGCGTTTAGTCACATCAGAAGTAGCGAAACCCCATGGGCACACGGCCCGGAGGTGGGTTTCAACACATGTAGCGAAATGAGTAGAAAGGCCGCGTGACGCAAGTACAGCAGCTGCACACTGGCTGAATCATTAGGTCTACAAGCATGTCCGAGGATGCGAACTGACACGTTTTAGCAGAATCCCCAACTGCACACTCGATCGATGCGACTAAACACAAGCCGATGCGACTTAACCCATGGACCCAGTAGTGCGCTCTTGGAGGAGGGAGAGTGAGAGAAGAGGGGGAGGGTAGCCACGTCCAGGCGAGACTCAGTGCAAAGCTCGGCGACTGGATGCATGATGTTACGATGATGACGCTTGTTGCTATGTACGGTCTTTCGGGTTCAGGGGCTTAGGCTTGCAATGTTTGTCTTTTATTTTAAAGCATACAGCGTCTAGGGCGTTACTGCTGTACTCTGTTGCTGGTGCTGCTGCTCATTCAGGTGTCGATATTGTGCTACAAGCAGACTGTCTTGGATTCGCACCGCATGTAAAAGGTCCCGAAACCGCCTTCGCTCCTTGAGCATGGTGCTGTGCTTCGTGTCACTCATGCTCTTGATAGTTTTGGTTTTGGGAGAGTCACCAGGCACGGACCACCTGTGCATCTTGACGCTTCTTCACCAGCCTTTCGACAAGACTGGCATTAGTGCGATCCAACGGCAAAGGAAAGAGTTCACCGAGGGCGCCACAACCATGCCGGAAACATAGATTTCGACGCCCGAACATTCTCGAATCCGTTTCGAGAGCTCGAACCAGAGCGTGCCCTAGAAATTTTCTGCAAGCCCAGAAACGCATCGCCACATCACAGTGGTTGCTGGATTCGCTCATATTTATAGAACTACTTCGAGGACAATGGACAAGTTTCAAACCCAGCCAGGCAGGGTTTCCACTTCTTCGTGTTTTCCGAAACCCAAAATAAGGTACCCCTCATTTTCGGAAACTCCCATAGGTACATGGACCCAAAACAGCCTTCGGATTGGCGCGCAGTGCCAAGCCGCACTGTGGGCAAATCTTCCGACGTCATCTTGTGTGGCGACGGACGGTGGCCACTTAGCTGCTGATCGACTGGAGCCAGAGTGCTACGGAGGAAGCGCAAATGCATCACTACGGGCACTGGGTTCAGCAGTGGTAACTCACTGTGTCATCCCCTAACTCCGAGGCGATCTTGGAGGGTCGAGAATCAACTAGGTTAGAAGTGCCCAAAGAGGGGCCCAAATTGCATTACTATGCTGATTACTCTACACAATGGTTACTCCCCGAACCTCCTGTCATATGCAATGCTTAACTGTGTGTGTGTGTGCCTGCAGGTCCAGCCCTCGCCCCAGCAGCGTGTCAGCGATGGTGCCGATTTGCTTCTGACAAGGCAAGTAGCGTTGGCGCCCCAATCTTAGATGATGCTGGAGGAGTATCGGGACAGACCGTATCGTTGGTGAGGCCCCTCAAGGACTCAAGTCTAAGGGTTTAGAATTAAAATTTGGCTTGAGTTCTCACGAAGCACATGCCAGCAAATCGATCCAGGACTTGGGGTGTATGCCACTCTTCGTCGTGATTAAGAGGTCGGATCTGCCAGAGGTCTGGTCACCAACAACTGCATCAACATATGCGGTTTACGCTCTCGCACTCGGACAAGCCACTACAAGGGTGAAAAAGGCCAGGAACCGCCCTCAAGACCCGGAGTCCGGTAAGATAACATCAGTTTACTTAACCCTGGGCAGTCTTTGATCAGCAGCAGCTTAGGTGGTATGGGGTTTGGGGTTACAATGTAGGACACGCATGGAGTAGGGGCGGGATTGAGATTGCTCGTTCAGAATGCCGCAACCTACGGCCCCGAACTGTTGGAATTGGGTGACCTTGTGTGCAAGGTTCATGCATCTGCTTATTGAATATATAAAGACATCAGCCCTACAGTTGCCATGGCGGAACCGTTTGAGGCTAAAGCTTCTATGCAATAAGTACATGGCTTGCTACATCATCGCAGAGTCCACCCTTCAAAACTCGAGTGCAACCCTGTATCATTCAAAGGGAGCCCACGTCCCCTAAAAAACCCTAAACCTTAAACCCTTAGTTATTCATGCCCTTAAAGACCTAAACCTTAAACCCTAAAGCATGAGTTGATGCCCTTAGTTATAATTGGAGCGGTACTTCTCCTTGAGCTGGGGCAAGTCCCTTCGGAAGGTGGCGATGGCGCGCAGGGTGGCACCTAGCTCCTGCTCTCGGTGCTCTGGGCTTAGGGTTTAGGCTTTAGGGTCTGGGGTTTAGGGCTTCCGAAAACCAGGGCGGATTGTAAAATTGGAGTTTGGCAGTTCGGGTTTCTGACATTAGGTTTACTGCTATTGAAGTTAGGGACAGCTTCTCGGCACAGTGATCATTGGAGGAACTGGAGGTTCGGAGCTCGACCTCGATTTTCAATTTACGCACCTACAAGAATTGACAGTTCACATACATGATATATGATATAGGGAACTGCATGCCTGCAACATCTTTCTATGGAGACTCCCAAGCTCGACAGCAGGCCTCTCGTGACCCCTTCCATAGGGGCTGCGTACCCTCGCCCCAAAAAGGTTAACCTTAACATACACTCCCAAAAGGTTATAGGTTACCTACTCAGCTACTAAGCTTCTAAAGTGGCATAAAGTGACGACAGCTGCAGCAGGAAGGTCCGAAATCATATCTGCGGCACTTGGACCCGAACATGTCCAGAAGTCTACTATACTGAACTTAGAATACCCTACATAATAAAGAGCTCAACATTAACCTCTTCAGCTGAAGGCTTGGGCATCCGGGCCTTGGTGTCATGGGCTCAGGGCATATAGTATAGGGGCCTTAATAATTAGAATAGGGCTCCCTTAAAGGGGTTTATAAGGGATCTGTAATAGAGTTCTGTAGGGGCCTGAATAACTAGAATAGGGTTTGGTGGCATATCATACTGTACTGAAAATAAGGAGGCCCCCAAGATAGTACAGGCAATTATTGAAGCTCCTATATTATGCTCCTAAGAAGTTTGCAGCATCGTGGTTGTGATCTGCTTTGCAAGCCAGTGGGCAATGCAACGAAGAGCCACGAGAGTCGACCTTTTCAGGGCCCAGGTTGCTTCTGGATCTCAGAGCAGCTGAACCCCGGGCTGCCCCTGCAGGATTTGCACGATCTCCTCGCTCCCTTTGGCAAGGGCGGCCTGCAGCGGTGTAACGACAAGTTTCCGGCCACAAGTAAGCAGCTTGTACTCCCTGCCAACATCGGCACGGGACTCCACCAGAAGGCGCACCATGGCAGCATCGTCGTTGCTGATAGCTTGTTCAAGAACCGGGCCTGCGTCTGGGTCAGCACACATGCCGAGCAGCAAGCGCGCCATCTCCATGTTGCCTACCCTGACTGCTACCCCCAAAGGTGTGGCCGAAAACTCGTCAGAGCGACCATTTATTTTAGCGCCAGCTTCCAGCAGCCAAAGCACTATCTTCGGGTCGGCACGCTGGACGGCTCCACCAAGAACACCCGAATCAAGCTCAGTGCCAGCATCCAGCTGCAGGCGAAGCGCCGCCTCGTCCGCATATTCCACGAAAGCAGGGGTCACTGCCTCTTTCTTAGCTGTAAGGGGGCGGCGAACTCCTCGGCTGCGGTGCTCTGCGAGGAGGAGGTGGACCACTTCCTGGTTCCCACAAAGCATCGCCAGGTCGAAGGGCCAATGATCCACAGGACCAGACTTGCGGTCATGTTCGACGCCGCAGGCAGAGTACAGCGGGGCACCTGCTTGCAAGAGTAACCTAACAGCCTCGACATGACCCTCCGCGCATGCGGCGCCCAGAGGTGTGGTCGCGAAGGTGTCCCAAATCTCGAGCTCATAGCCCTTGCAGGGCTGCTCACAAGATGCCCCAGCCTCCAGCAACAAGCTCACGATCTTGGAATGGCCGAAACGACATGCTAAGAATATTGGCGTCATTCCTTTATGGCGTTCGTTGCGCATGATGAGATCAGGGCAGCGGGGCAGTTGCAGCAGCCGCTCGACTTCCCCGACCGCACCAAATTCAATTGCAATGCCAAGCTTAGCTTCATGCAGTTGGCCGGGCGCAACATACGACGTCACCACCAACTGAAACTCCTGAAGCTCCCGCATGTCAAGCACGTCTCCATCCTGCAACAGCTGATCGGTCCCTGACCGAAGGAGTCGCAACTGAAACCGCGGGCGCCCACAGAGGTGTGCCAAATGCTGCTTCAAGCCCCGGATGTCAACAGCTGCATTTGCAGGCACTTCGTGAACATCACCGGTAGCTGCATTAAGGATGTGCACGACGTTGCCAAGCGGAGGCTCTGACATCAAAGGCGTCGTTCAAACAAGTGCCGCCTTACGAACGTAGTCCACTTTAGCCACTTGGCCCGAAATGACTGCCTGAAGAAAGGTCTTGCCTTCCCTGGGGATATACTATCTACTATAATTATCAGAGCCCCTATAGAATCCTTATAGACTCCTTTCAGAAACCCTAAAGAAGGATCCCTTTAAAGGTACCCCTAATTTTCGGAAACTCTAAGCCCTAAAGCCTTTATAGAACCCTTATAGATCCCCTTCAGGAACCCTATATAAGAATCCCTTTAAAGGTACCCCTAGTTTTCGGAAACTCTAAACCCTAAAGTCTTTAAAGAACCCTTATAGGTCCCTTCCAGAAACCCTATATCAGGATCTCCTTAAAGGTACCGCTCCTATAGATCCCTTATAGGAGCCCTTACAGAGCCGCTTTCAAGGCACCCCTAATACTTGGAGGGTCGGGGGAAGTACCCTAAAAGGGATCCTCATTGGGGTTATGGTACTTATAAGTCTCCAACATAACTAGTTACCAAGTCCCCCGACCGTCCAAGTAGACCCTAAACCCTATAGATCCCTTTAAGGAGCCCTATTCGGAAACTCCCACACACCCTAAACCCTATACCCTTATAGAATCCCTATAGATCCCTTTAAAGGGGCCCTTAAGGAACCCCTTATAGTATATGAGAGTATTCGGAAACTCCCACATGAAGCCCTCTGAGGCAAAGAAAACTCAGCAGGCCCAGCCTCGGCTTCGAGAGCTCCTCGCTCGGCCTTCTGTGGTTTTCAAAGGGGCTTAGGGTTTTAGGGTTTTGGGATTTAGGGTTTTAGGGTTTTAGGGTTTTGGGGTTTAGGGTTTAGGGTTTTAGGGTTTTAGGGGTTTAGGGTTTTAGGGTTTAGGGTTTTGGGGTTTAGGGTTTTAGGGTTTTGGGGTTTAGGGTTTTGGGGTTTTGGGGTTTAGGCGGTTTAGGGTTTTGGGGTTTAGGGTTTTAGGGTTTTGGGTTTTAGGGTTTGGGGTTTAGGGGTTTTAGGGTTTTGGGGTTTAGGGTTTTAGGGTTTTGGGGTTTAGGGTTTTAGGGTTTTGGGGTTTAGGGTTTTAGGGCTTTGGGGTTTAGGGTTTTGGGTTTTGGGTTTTAGGGTTTTAGGGTTTTGGGTTTAGGACTTCAAGTTTAGGATTTGGGATTTAGCGTTTAGGATTTTGGGTCTAGGGTTTTTGGGCTTAGGATTTAGGGTTTTGGCTTTAGGATTTAGGGTTTCGGCGCTCGCACTAGGGTTTAGGGTGTTGGGCTTAGGGTTGGGATTGGGGCTTAAGGGTTCGATTTTGTTAGAAGCCCTCTTGGACCGAAAACAAGCCTCATTAGCAGGACTTGTGCCAGAATGTTGCAGCTGTGTAGCCCGTAAAGTCACGAATAATCCCACAAAGAACCCAGGTAGAGGACCTCTGAAACCTCCCGGATAAGCCCTTGCAGTAAAACCCAGGAAGGCCCGAAACCTTCAATCCCATAGGCCCAATCCCCAGAGACTCCAACATCCCTTAATTAAGGAATATATATTCTGGAGACACTAATATTATACCTGTGTTACCAGCGCCTTGTGCTCACAGAGTCCTGAGCCTTAAAGGATGCATTCCTCAATTAAAGACTAGGATCGGCTTTTAAAGCCTTTGAAGCATATTAGTAGTTAAGATCCTCTTAAGCCCAATAGGAGCCAAAAGAAATGTCCCAAAGCCCTACCTAGAAGAACTTTGAAGTCTTCTGCAAAGATCTGGCTTACGGCAATCCTTGGTCGGGGGTTCTAAGCTTGGGGTGAGG